CTAGAGGATCCCACTATTAGAGTGACATGGTCGGCAGGTAAAAGATACTGACCGACATTGTCTTCAACGTTGGCTTGGCCTAGTAGTTAAGCTGGGAGGTGTACGTAGTATATGTATGTATGCCCTGGGTTCAAATACCGAACAAGTCATAGATTCGCGTTTTGAAAAGTTTTTTACTTACTGCAGGTAAAAGATACTGACCGACCTATGTATGCCGGTTTAAATCCTAAACAAATTTTTTACTTGCTGCTATTAGAATGACATGGTCAGCAGTTACTTAAAAGATACCGACCAACATTGTCTTCCACCGTTGGCTTGGCTTAGTGGTTAAGCTGGAGGTGTACAGAGTGTATGTATGCCTGGGTTCGAATCCCAGAAGTCACTTACAACGATCGCAACTCTTTCGTTTTTGTAACTCTGGCTAAAATTTACTAATCAATTCTTACCGAGCTTGCAGACCCAGGTTAGTTGTCTTACACTGGGTAAGTTACAAAGTGCCGAGCTTTCAGGCCAGGTGGATCATTGACTTGGCTCAGTGGTCAAGGTGGGAGGTGTACGCATTGTATCTATGTATGCCCTGGGTTCAAATCCCTAACAAGTCATGCTGTTCATCCTAAACAGTTTTTTACTTACTACTATATTAGAGTGACATGGTCGTCAGCTAAAAGATACTGACCAACTTCCTCTTGCAGTGCTGACTTGGCTTAGTGGTTGAGCTGGGAGGTATGCCCTGGGTTCAAATCCCAGAAGTCACATAGAGCGAAGACGGCCTTTTTGTAACACTGGCTAAAATTTACTAATCCAAGGCTTTTAACATCCAAAGTCCCAAGAACGGGTAGTTGTCTTAGTTGTCTTATGCCGAGAACGGGTGACTTACAAAGTGCCGAGCTTGGACGCCCGGGTTCAAATTGCAGGCAGGTAAAAGATACTGGCCACGATCGTCTTCCAACGTTGGCTTGGCTTCGTGGTTATGCTGGGAGGGTACGTTGTGTATGTATGCCCTGGGTTCGAATCGTACGTTGTGTATGTATGCCCTGGGTTCGAATCCCACAAGTCAGTTACACCTATCGCAACTCTTGTTAAAATTTACTAATCAATGCTGGTTTGACCGATGTTGTCTCGGATCATGAAAATTTGAACTGCAAGTTCTGCCTGGTCTGCCTCTGCTTGGCTGCTAAATTAAAGGCCAAGCTGAAAACGATTCGGCTTGAAAATGCCGGCCTCGGTGATGCATCGGCTGATGAGATGTTCATAAATTCTCGTGTCCGGCCGACTCGGTGATATCCATGAACCATGACTACCATGTGGGTCTCGCCAGCTGACCCTGGTAACCAGAGTTGAGGGCCCTCGGCCGACCACCAACCCAGGCGAATTCAAAATGTCTGCCGACCTTGCATAGCCTAGCTGCTAATCAGAAGTGAAGGCCCTCGGCCGATCACCAGCCCAGCAACGTTCACAACTGTCAGCCGACCTTGCATCTTCCATCAGCCGATATACAAATACAATGTTCAAAACTGTCAGCCGACCTTGCATAGCTTAACTATCTGATATACAAATACAATGTTCAAAACTGTCAGCTGACCTTGCATAGCTTAGCTATCAGCCGATATACAAATACAGGGACTTGACTTCCCGGGGCAGCTTCCTACTGATCGGTGTATGCTAAATCTACGTAGCTGGCCGACCCTTCTTTACCTTGATAGTGGGATCACATCGGCCAATTCATCAACACAGGGTTATTGGCCCTCATCGGCCCATCAGCAGGCACCATCAACTATGGCCTGTTTGTATTGTCGGGCCTCTCAGTGTTGGTGGGTGATTCCTACTAACTGCCCTGATTCAAGGGTAGACCCTTGCCTCCTCACATGGGAGAAGACACCTGTGAAAGGAGGGAAGAACTTGGTTTAACAGCTCTCGCACCCCCTACCCAGTATAACACAAATTTCGTCAGTAGTCAACGACAACGCCCTATTGAAGCGAAGTCGGATGGCGGATCCTCACACCACCATTTGTCAACCAGTAATCGCAGGAGCGGAAACTGGGGAAACCCATCAGGAGGCAATCCAGACGGATCAAGCGACAAAGACGATGGGGACGAATACCCTTGCAGGAACAATCACGATACTCAGAGACCATCGGATGATGGTTACCCCGTTAATCACGGTGGGGGAGGCAGTAATCCTGGAGGTGGCGGCGGTGGTAATGGACCAAATAATAATGGGCTCTATTCGAATTCACAGCCTCGGGAATGCGCCTTATGGTAATTTGGTAGCCACAATTAGGAATGAGCTGAAGCAAGACCAACTGCCAGTTTGGGATGGAAATAAAGAGACAGCAATTGAATATTTCTGGAAAATTCAACAGTTAGCAGCTCTGGAAGGTGACATACCAGTCGCTCTAGGGTATTGGTTATGGAAAAGCTTGAAGGAGAATTCCAGGATATGGATGTGGTTCACTACCTTGCTGTTTATGGAGCAATCCAAGATGCGAACTCATTATTTGCATTACCTTAAGGGTATTAAGGACAACTATTTGGGGCATACATGGCAAATCAGTATGAACAGGAAATATGAGAGTCAGTCTTTTCGTCAAGAAGGATTCGAAAGAGAATCCCCTCCTGCTTTCACTTCAGTCACCCACCTTGAACAAGCTATTAGCCTTGAAACATATAGGTATATATCCAGGCTAATAGGTTCCTTGGCCATTTATTTTTTTGCCTCTGGAGGAAAATATATTATTGCATTGGGCAAAAATGTTTGACCTTCAATATTGTGACCGGAAATATTTGGGTTGATATATTGCATTGAAAAATATCCTAGCCATCTGAAAGTGGTTGGAAATGTTTGAAGCATGTTGGAGTGGTAGGAAATATTTGAAGTGTTTCAGATTGGTCGGAAATGTTTTAGCTATGTCACACTGCTGAAAAATCTTTTGGTCATGTCACACTGCTAAGAAATGTTTGAGCCATGTCACACTGCTGAAAAATCTTTTGACCATGTCACACTGCTTGGAAATGTTTTAGCCATGTCACACAGGCAAAAAAATTCCTGCCAGTGTCACAGAGTATCTGGGGTCCTAGTTTCAAAAAAAAAACTTCAAAAATTTCTGACCATTCAAACTTTTATCTTCTGGATTCAACTTTTCTACAAAATTTATCATAAAGATAATTTTGGTCCTAAACTTGCCCTTTTACTTTTATATTGTATTTTTATTATAGAAACAGCAGATTATATATTGCATGCAACTGTATCTATTGGTATTCAGCTATTTGTTATATAGTTATAGCCTCTAAATTCTGCTTCATCAGATAATAAAGGTTTATACTGACTGCTCTTATATTGAGTTTATATTGGTAATTGCCTATAATAGACTAGCCCTACTTACTGAATCATTACTGTTGTTTATTATTCATGCAAATTACCAGAGGTAAATATTGGCTGATGTGCAAGCCATATTCTTCACTGCAGTAAACCTATGTTTCTGAAAACTAGAGAGAGTTCTGGGGATTGTTACATTTACTATGCTAGCTATATTTTCTCACTCCCATAGAGGTATGTTTCTGAGCACTGGAGAGTTCTGAGGATTGTCAGAGTCTGATGTTTCATGTAAATGTATATGTGATGTATTTGTGTTTGTTGACTATAATGACATTTTAAATATCTTCTTTGAACACCATCATGACTGCCAGTACTTTACTGTGCCTCACCTATTTCTGCAGAAATGGCTAGAATCCTACAAAATTCTGATCTCTCTATTAGAAATACTTGAATTTTGTTTTTTAGATATGGATTTTAGACCTTGACAACAGCACCCAACAAGAAGTCCTATTTTTTCTCATTTTTACCATATTTTATAAATGATCTTCATTTAAAATAGTAATATTTCTCATTCGAAAAGGCAAAATGGACTCCAAAATCAGACCTGCAATATTATGACCACCAGTAATTACCACCTACATTGTCCCCAATGTTACTCTCATTTTATTGTGATTTACTGGCTATATTTGCACAAATTACCCTATTTGGAAATATGCACAGGTCATGTCCACCATGCACCCACATTGTCAATAACAGTCAATAGTATGTCTGTCCTTTTTTTTTCTGATTCTTACAGTATATTTGTATCAATTACTATATTAGAAAATGCACATAAACAATGTATATGGTATTTCAATATTCCTGACAATAGTCTATTATTTTCCTCTTTTGGCTCTAATTTTCTGGCTATATTTTCATTATATACTATATTTGGAAATATGCACAGACCAAGTAAACAGTGCACCAAGATCTATTTACATCACATGATTTTTTCATTTTTCTAATTATATTTGTATTAATTACTATATTAGCAAATGTGCACAGGCCATGTATATACATACCCAATATCGTCAACAATGGGTCCATTTTCTTATTTTTCTGGCTATCTTTGTATCAATTACTATATCAGAAAATATGCACAAACTATGTTCATAGTATGTCAATATTGTCAATAATAGTATGTTATTTTTCTGTTTTTCTTCTAATTTTCTGGGTATATTTTCGTTAATTATTATACTTGGAAGTATGCACAGACCAAATAAACAGTACATCAAAATTATCACATATTATTTGAATTTTTATTTATTTTTCTGCCTATATTTATTTGATTACCATATTGGAAAATGTGCACAGACCCTGTATATTGTACCCCAATATTGTTAACATTTGTTTATTATTTTTATTTTATTTTTCTGATTTTCTAGCTTTATTGAATTTCCTCTATTATTTTTTCTCTTTCTCTTCAATTTTTCATGTGGAAATGCAATACTTACTTTATTTTGCAATTGTAGTAACCACACTATTCTTGTAAATACTAGATAAGTGCCAAAATCTTTGCTGGCTATCACATGATCTATATCACATAATCAGACCACATGATATATCACATGACTACTATATCACATGATTGGTCACATGTCATATCATATGACTGTATTATGTGATATACAATATGAACAACTATATAATGCATTTATTATCAGATAGACTCAGACATCCATTTTCTGGCCATTTTTTCACTAATTACCATATTTGGAAATGTGCCCAGACCAAGTAAACAATACATTAACATTATTAATGACCATTTCCAGCATGTGAATTTATTTTCTTATTTTTTTCTGACTTTTTGGCTGTAATTTCAGTAATTACTATATAGGGAACTGTGCACAGACCATGTAAACATTACCCCATCATCGACACCCAATTTCTTTGTGATTTTATTCTAGTATTATTTCAAATTTGGGTGGTCTAATGGATTATATGTGCATTAAATGTGGAAGCTGTCAATGAAAGTGGTATGGCAAGCTGGAATGACAATGGAAAGAAGACCCAGCTGTGATCTTGGTCACAGCTACAGTCCAAAGAGAGGAAGAATGAGGGTTAGAGACTAGATGTGGGTGTATTTTAGCAAGATTTAAGATTGCTCAAGATATTCAAAGCTACCCTGGAAATCCATGAGAGGTTGGATACAGATGCAGGAAGAGATAACAGTGCAGATATGATAAGACCTGCCCTGATAGACTGGGTCTTGTGACACAGAAGTTTAACAAGTAATTTGAGTTTATCAGAGTCACTGAATAGGCATTCAGTTTACACTAAATAAAAGATCACAGCTTGTCAGCAGGTTGGTGGTTCGAACCAAGCCAGAGGCAGGATTACATTGCCAGTTCATTTACCTCACCAACTGTAGCAGTAAGTGACAAGTTGCAAGGTGAGATCCCCTGGGGTCACCTATATCATGATGACTACATGTTGGAAGGTCCTGGTTGATGTTATAGAGTAGGGGAGGCTGTAAGGCTGTATTAGGTATACAGCTGTCTACACTACCACATATATGCACCAGTAGATGAAAGAGTAATCTTTCATTTATCCAACCTTTTGGTGTAGAATTTCCAGAGAAGGAGTGGGGATTGTGCAGTGGAATTCTGAAGCATGAATGATCTCCACTAGATACTAGCAGAATGTCTCTTGAATCAAGATCTGACTTGTATTGTAGCTAATCACAGCTTGGTCTTAACACCATTATCATTTTGGCTCTCTATACAACATTCATCAACAGCTCCCCACATATAACACATAGATAGTGTATTACACATCTGCTGGGGGGTGAGGATCATTGAATAGTGCATTTTATATGCCATAGTGATCATCTAGTTACTGTCATTTGTAGATAGTATAGACATATTGCATGTAGATATAGACATTGTAATTTGTAGGTATGGTATAGGGAAAGCATAAGATTTGTAGGCACCCTACTACCATTACAAGAACATAACAATGACCCAATATGCACTCACTACCAACATGCAATACATCACCACCCTGTAGGAAATTCAGTATATTGGTTCTTGATATTATATAAAACCATTGTAAATGGTGCAGAGGATTCCACAAAGGAGAGGAGTAAGGGCTCTTGTTTGGGTATTGTCTTTGGCATGGGGACAGAGCAGCAAAACATAAGAGCAAGGCCATGGATAGGCATGGAAGCAATAGCACAAATAATAGACAAACATCTGACTCATTATGTAGTTATTCATATTCTATATCATGTGATCTGTCTTTCCCACACCACCACTGCTGTCAGAAAAAAAGAAGAAAAAATAATAGACCATCACTAATGGCCTGTGCACATTTCCCATTATGGAAATATATATAGAAAATCAGACAAAAAGGGGGGGGAAATAGATATATGGTCAATATGGTAATTAATACAAATACAGCCGGAAAAATAAGAAGAGAAATTCAATAATGCTAGAAAATTAGAAAATTAAAATTAAAATAATAAAGTATTGTTGAAAATATTGGGGGGTCTGTGCATATTTTCCAATATGGTAATCAATATAAATATAGGCAGAAAAATAAGAAGAAATTCAAATGATATGTGATAATTTTAATGTACTGTATACTTGGTTTGTGCATATTTCCAAATATGGTAATTAATGACAATATAGCCAGAAAATTAGAAGAAAAATAGAAACATAATCTACTATTATTGACAATATTGACATACTATGAATATAGTTTGTGCACATTTTCTGATATAGTAATTGATACAATATAGCCAGAAAAATAAGAAAATGGACTGTTGTTGACAATATTAGGTATGTACATGGCCTGTGCACATTTGCTAATATAGTAATTAATACAAATGTAATTAGAAAAATCAGAAAAATCATGTGATGTAAATAGGTCTTGGTGCACAGTTTACTTGGTCTGTGCATATTTCCAAATATAGTATATAATGAAAATATAGCCAGAAAATTACAGGACAAAGAGAAAAATAATAGACTATTGTCAGGAATATTGAGGTACCATATACATGGTTTATATGCATTTTGTAATGTAGCAATTGATACAAATATAGTGTGAGAATCAGAAAAGAAAACAGAAAAAAAGAACAGACATACTATTAACTGTTATTGACAATGTAGGTGCATGGTGGATATGATCTGTGCATATTTCCAAATAAGGTAATTTGTGTAAATATGGCTAGAAAATCATAATAAAATGAGAGTAACATTGGAGAAAATGTAGATGGTAATTACTGGTGGTCATAATGTTGCAGGGCTGATTTCAGAGTCCATTTTGCATTTTCAAATGAGAAATATTACTATTTTAAATGAAAATCATTTATAAAATATGGTAAAAATGAGAAAAAATAGGACTTCTTGTTGGGTACTGTTGTCAACATCTAAAATCCATGTCTAAAAAATAAAATTCAAATATTTCTAATAGAGAGATCAGAATTCTGGAGGATTCTAGCCATTTCTGCAGATATCGGTGGGGCACAGTAAAGTACCAGCAGTCATGATGATGTTGAAGAAATTTAATATGTCATTATAGCCAACAAACATGAATACATCACATATACATTTACATGAAACATCAGACTCTGACAATCCTCAGAACCCTCTCCAGTGCTCAGGAACATATCTCTATGGGAGTGAGAAGATATCGCTAGCATGGTAAATGTAACAATCCCCAGAACTCTCTCTAGTTTTCAGAAACATATGTCTACTGCAGTGAAGAATATGTGTAGTATGTCAGTCCAGTGAGCAACTCCCTACACACACATCTTACCCTTTCCACTTCCCAACATTGCACAACTATCAGTCTGTTACCATATGCTTAGTCAGATTCTGCTTACATCATCCATTTTGTACATTACACTTCATGTAGTCCATGAGGGAATCTATCTCTTTAACAACACTATTGCTCATGTCACTCAACTTGAAGCCCTACTAACAGCTCTAACTTGAACATTAGGCAATACGTGTGAAGGAGCCTTCATGACTTGCATGATCATAGCACTCTCCAATGGGACCGTCCATGAAGATCGGAGCATGGGCACTATGAACTGCCACATTCCATGGCTCCTAGCTATTGATTGATTGGCCAGAATGACTTACTCCTACAGTCACAACAACCTTGGTCGCATTGTCCATTAGACATTCCAACAGCTGTTCCACTACTCTAGGGACACTTACATTCAGTAGTGTACCACAATATAGCTTGCACATCAGCCAATATTTACCTCTGGTAATTTGCATTAATAATAGACAACAGTAATGATTCAGTAAGTAGGGCTAGTCTATTATAGGCAATTACCAATATAAACTCAATATAAGAGCAGTCAGTATAAACCTTTATTATCTGATGAAGCAGAATTTAGAGGCTATAACTATATAACAAATAGCTGAATACCAATAGATACAGTTGCATGCAATATATAATCTGCTGTTTCTATAATAAAAATACAATATAAAAGTAAAAGGGCAAGTTTAGGACCAAAATTATCTTTATGATAAATTTTGTAGAAAAGTTGAATCCAGAAGATAAAAGTTTGAATGGTCAGAAATTTTTGAAGTTTTTTTTTTGAAACTAGGACCCCAGATACTCTGTGACACTGGCAGGAATTTTTTTGCCTGTGTGACATGGCTAAAACATTTCCAAGCAGTGTGACATGGTCAAAAGATTTTTCAGCAGTGTGACATGGCTCAAACATTTCTTAGCAGTGTGACATGACCAAAAGATTTTTCAGCAGTGTGACATAGCTAAAACATTTCCGACCAATCTGAAACACTTCAAATATTTCCTACCACTCCAACATGCTTCAAACATTTCCAACCACTTTCAGATGGCTAGGATATTTTTCAATGCAATATATCAACCCAAATATTTCCGGTCACAATATTGAAGGTCAAACATTTTTGCCCAATGCAATAATATATTTTCCTCCAGAGGCAAAAAAATAAATGGCCAAGGAACCTATTAGCCTGGATATATACCTACATGTTTCAAGGCTAATAGCTTGTTCAAGGTGGGTGACTGAAGTGGAGCTGAATGAAATATCCTACTGAAAACCATAAGAAATGGTAATGAAAGGGCCAAATGCCTAATGAAATATCCTTATGAGAAATGGTAATGAAAAAGCGAAGGAGCCTAATGAAATATCCTAATGAAAATTCTAAGAAATGGCAATGAAAAAGCGAAGGAGCCTAATGAAATATCCTAATGAAAATTCTAAGAAATGGTAATGAAAAAGCGAAGGAGCCTAATGAAATATCCTAATGAAAATTCTAAGAAATGGTAATGAAAAAGCGAAGGAGTCTAATGAAATATCCTAATGAGAATTCTAAGAAATGGTAATGAAAAAGTGAAGGAGCCTAATGAAATATCCTAATGAAAATTCTAAGAAATGGCAATGAAAAAGCGAAGGAGCCTAATGAAATATCCTACTGAAAATTCTAAGAAATGGCAATGAAAAAGTGAAGGAGCCTAATGAAATATCCTAATGAAAATTCTAAGAAATGGTAATGAAAAAGCAAAGGAGTCTAATGAAATATCCCAATGAAAAGTCTATGAAATGGCAATGAAAGGGCCAAAGAGCTTAATGAAATATCTTCATGATATCTCATTATCCTTGCCTATATCTTATGAAAGATTCCAGTGATAAATTGAATGAAATAGATGGGCAATCCTAATGAGATGCCTTTCATAAAACCTGTGGCAGTATACACATTGGCTCTTGGACAGTTGTCATAGATTAATCATAAATAGTGGTAGCCACTAGTGGGATGAGACTGTAGGGGGAAGGCCGAGACCATTCATCATAATAGGGGGGGGAAGCCAAAAGACATTCATCAAAGGAGGGAGGAGGCTATTGAGTGAGTCAGCAGGAGACCATTGAGTGAGGGAGGAGGCACACATCGTTGATGGAGGAGACAGTTCGTCAAAGGCGAAAACAAGTCGTCGATGGAGGAGACAGTTCGTCTAAAGCGGAAACAGGTCGTTGAAGGAAGAGAGAGGTCATAGAGGGAGGAGACAGGTCGTCGAGGGCGGAGGCAGTTCATTGAGCTTAGATCTCAGAAACCATTTGTTGAGGGGATACCAGTTGTCGAGGGTGGAGACTGATCATCAAAGGGGAGACCATTCGTTAAGGGAGGAGATCATCTGCTGAAGGAGGAAGAGAAAGGAGGCTGTTGGTCAAGGGAGGGAAGAGGCCTTTCGTCATCTCTACCTAGGGAGGAGACCCTTCATTGCGAGAGGAGGCCACTGGTCGAGGGAGGGAGAAGGTGTTTGTCGTGGGAAGGCTGTTCGTCAACTTATGAATCGGAGCTTGCATGGGTGTGGTGGGAAGGAAGAACATGGAAGAACTTGGGAAGAACAAGGAATTTTCGCGCTGACAACATGATCACCTGATGTTGGAGTTTCAACAGACTTCAACAAATTGTCTTGTTGACTGAGGACAAAGGTGATACAAATGATAGTAATTCAGATGACCAGGATTAGACTACAACATGACTTGTAACTGACTATTCCTTGACTTCAGTTAGGCTGTGAAAACTTTGCAGATACATAACTGAGCGCCACATGACTTTGCATTTACCAATGTGACTTCACATGACCTTCTTGTGAGAGGTAGATGACTTGACCTGACTTTCGTTTTTACTGAGTGTCCAGTGTCAGATCTGTCATCAGATTTCCGTCAAAAAATCTGGTTCCTGAGATACTCAATTTGTTGACTTTAGTTGTCCGCAACTGTACCGTTGGCTCGACATCGGATTAGATAATTATGTAATAAGTAATGTGCCGGCTTCCGGCCGTATGAACCAGGTTCTTACATAGAAGACAAGGGGGTTCACGCGTGAAGGGGGTTCCTACATAGAATTATCCCCTCCTGGCACCTTATCTCCACACCCTGCAACACCTTTACGTGTTTTGCCCACATGATTTGCAAGCACGGCGGTCGGAACGGCACCGATATAACTATGAGGCCTTCGGGCGTCTATTGACTCAACACCCACCGTAGATTACTAGCTGACTCACCACCACCATGCCAGCCTGTTCCAACCCTTCCGCCGACTCAGTGAAAGGAGTCAAAATCTCGCGAGGCCTGCAAGGCCAAGACGACAACTTAGATGCCTTAAGCGCCCTATTTGAGCAGCTCCAGCTACTCACGGTGGATGCATCGAACCCCGAGCTAGATCTGATAACCTTTGCGCACAGCGCCTATTTCTTTGGAGTCATAACAGAGGTGGACGAACTCACTCAACGAAAATGCGCAGCACCAGAAAGTGACCAAGAATCGACTTGGTCTATGGACGAAGAACCAACCGTGAGTTGCCTACCAAAAAAAACTCTTGGATGAATGGAGGTTGACGTAGACATATAGAGAACGCCCAAGAGGTGCAGTTCACCGATAAAAGTTGAATCAAATGATGAGGTTGTTCCTCATTCAAGCTCGCTGATTATAGTACCGCAAAAAGGATCGTCTGCCGCTCTTGAACCGCCTGCCATTAAGCCCTTGAACGCCCACGATAACGGCACCTCGGATGAGTTGAGCTTGGATGCGTACTTGGACAATCATTACTCGGAGTTTGAAGCACAACAGCCCTCCAGCTCGAATGCGATATCATCTATGTGGGACGACTACAAGATCCCCTCCAACCCCCCAAAGTTTGACCCAGCCTCCCAAGTTTCGCTCTACGACGACGACAACGACATTTACTCCGAAACCAAAAATGAATGGCACTGGACCCCTCCTGCACTGCCTGGCAAAGAGCCCCTAGTTGGCATCGTCTACCTGACATCATCGCAGAACTACGGCGACCTCTTACACGTCGGTGAACTCAACATCGGGATCATTTTGGAACCCGCATTCAGAAAAAAAGGATACGCACGAAAAGCAATCGAAAAGGTTTTAGAGACTGCATTTGCAGACCAAACATGTCATCGTATTCAAGCTATCATCCTCGACAGCTGGGCCAAAGATAGAGCGCTCAATTTGTTCATGCAATCGTCAGTCCTTCGTAACTTCTACACAAACCTGAGATGAACCTCTCCATAGCCGATTCGGGCACGAAGGAACACGTCGACGTGCCTTCTTCGGGCCCTTTGACAGTGAATGGAAAGACACGACCTATCTAGCCATGCTCGATACCGACTGGGTCATGCGCACCTGCATCAGTCCCAGGTTCCGCGTTGCACCCAAGTCTCTCTGGGACGAGCTCTTCGCACGCCACCAACGGGAGAGGGAGGAGCTCCTACGCTGGGAAGAGAGGAATAATATTTTGAAGCGCTCTATTAGCATGGAAACTGTCCGGAATATAGTCGCGCTTTCGTCAGCGTCGACTTCGGCTTCGGAAGATGAAGCTATGACTGATTCCGAGTCTGTCAATTCTGCCACAGCGAGCTCGAAGCGGGTGAATGGGAAGAAGAGGCGCATTGATGTGGGCGATTCGTACGATGCATCTGCGTCTGAGAGTGAGGGCGAACCTGAGCTGGTCGCTGGCCTTCGTAGTCCTCCTCCATTGTACGACCCAACCGAATGGGTAGCCCAGGTCCGGAGTCATCGATCAACTAGCCCCGCCTCTTCGCAGTCGGGCGAGTCTGTTCATTCGGACGGAAGCTACACCACGTCGTCAAGCTCTCCGTGGGATCATATGGAAAGCGCCAGTGACGGCAGTTTATCTGACTTCGGATACCAGATTCTTAACCTTGACTCGGATGGTGAGGATGATGATGAATTATGAGACATACATCGATGCTCCCTTCCCTTGCAACCACCTTGTACAGTATTCTTGTCATTTTCGTTTTGATATCACCTTGTTCTCTAGCATGTCGTGTAAAATACCCTCATACAAGTCGAGATCTTCTGTATTTATAATTGTAAACAAAAACTGATGAATAGCAAAGCAATCATACACTTCAATTTCGAATAGCACCTCCTCGTTAGTTTTACATGAATAAAGCAAGCAAGCCACACCTAACTAGATTTTAAACACCACTACGCCCAGCAGCTTTGATATTTCCCGCATTCTCCAACACTGGTAACCTTTTCTCCGGCTTTTCCAGAGTAGGCTTGGGAAGGAACCCCGCCTCGACCAACCAGGCCAAATACAACCCCATCAACCCCTCATCGACCGTCTTCGCCGTTGGGCCAGTGTGGGCTTTCAAGATCGCCCGGGTATTCCTATCGTCCAACTCTGGCGCCTTGGTGCTCGTTGGCAGATCGTCCAGGACGAAGTGGAGGAGTGGGAAAAGGGCGTTATCCTGGACCTCCATGACATGTTGCTCGAGCTTCCTGCGCCAGACGACGTATTCGCATAGTTCAGTGAGGAACCCGTAGTGTGCGAGTGAGGAGAGCATGCCGTTGAAGGTGGGTAAGGGGCTCGCGGTGATATGCAGAACTGAAAGGGGCGCATTGGGAAGGGGGGAGACGGCGGCGAGGGAGGTGCACAGGGCGACGTGGTCGACGGGGACCATGTTGATGGTGTTGTTGATGTCGGGTACGAGTCCCAACTGCACACATCCCTTGACCATACGCCAGATGAAGTCGTCCGTATTGGTCACTAAAGAACCCATTCAATTGAAGTTCGACAAAGAAGGACTGAAGAACTTACCCGCCGTGCGCGAGTCACCAACGACATACCCTGGTCGCACAATGTGTCCTCTCAAGCCTCTCCGACCGGCTTCAAAGAGCAACTTTTCAGAGACCCACTTTGTCTGGCCATAGCCAGTTTTCAACGATGATTTGGCTCCTTCCAGGTCATCGCCCTCTGGGACACCAGTAAATTCTGATGAGCTCTGCGCAAGGGATTCCGAGAGTTGCACGTAGTGCTCGGTGTCGACTGCAGAAGTGGATGAAACGAAGACAAGGAGCTTGGGCTTGCCACTCGACGCAAGGTCGATCGTTGCCAGAGTCGACAATACGTTTGCTGAGCGGAGTTTCTCGTATGGGTAGACCCAGTGAACCTTTGCAATGTCAATCAACTGAAAAGGTGAACATGAGAAAAACCTACCAAAGCTCCGTTATGGACAACGACATCCGCCTCAGAGGCAATCCGATCCCAATCATCTTTCCCCAGTCCTAGCTGACTCAAAGCAAGGTCACCAACCACAACTTCAAGCCTGCCACTTGACACCCAAGCATCATCCCATACCCCTCGATTGGTTGAACCTTCCTTCAATCGATCCAAACCGCTCTCTGCGCTCGATGCACGAACCAAACAGATCACTTTCTGAACCCTGCCAATTCTCGACAGCAAGTCTTTGAGAACGAATGCGCCCAAGAACCCAGTGGCCCCAGTGAGGAAAACTGTAACAGGACGCTCGCCAAAGTCCGCGGGAATAGAAGGGTACGAAGGCTGCAGTTTGTCGAGGAGCTGAACGTAATCCTGGCCGTACTCCAAGGGCAGCGCTTTCGTTTCGACAGCAGGGGTTCCCGGAACAATTTCCACAGGAGGTTGTGCCTCCAGTCCAAGATCGGCATTTCTCAGAGCATCGACGGCATTGACCAGCCCAGAGATGGTAGGTTGTTCAAAGATCAAGCCCAGAGGCGCGCTGACCACAAACACTTTACGAATCTCGAAGATGAGGCGTGTGGCGAGGATTGAATGACCTCCAAGATCGAAGAAACTTTCATCGAGAGGTATGGGCTTGGGTGCATTGGGTAGGATGTTTGCCCAAAGAGAACACATTGTTTCTTCTGTTGTGCTCGCTTTGCGCGTCGGTGGAGCTGCATAGGATGCTTGAGCGGTATCCGGGAAAGGGAGAGCGGGTTTGTCGATTTTTCCATTAGGGTTTAAGGGCATGCGCTTGAGGGGCACAAATACTAGAGGAAAATCAAGTTAACACGGTCTAAGTTGAAAGGGAATAATGGGCATACATGTAGGAACGCTGTAGCTCGGCAACTTCTTCTTCAAGTGTTCCCGAATGTCCTTAATAAGTCGCCTATACTTCTTCATACCCCTCACAATAGTACCCTCATCATCAGGAATATCGCTCGCGAATCCATCCAAATCCGGTCCCTCCAGAGGTACGAAATAGCTGACCAAGATTTTCTCCTCGTCCTTATCTCTTCGCACAAGAGTGACGTTCTCCCGCACGAGCGGATGCTGGCTGAGATGGATATCAATTTCACCAAGTTCAATTCTGAACCCGCGAATCTTGACTTGGTCGTCCGCCCGTCCAGTACATTCGACAATCCCATCTGGCTGATATCGACCGAGATCTCCAGAACGATACATCCTGTCCCGGATGCCCTTCCAATACAGTGCCTCGGAGCCAGCGAGCTCGTCTACTGGGTGCAAAATGGTGTCCTTTCTCGGAGCAGAGTCAGCCGAGAACCAATTCGTCACAAACTTCTCTGCTGTTGCGTCCTGATCGAGGTATCCCTCCGCCAAACCACCTGAACGGACATAGATTTCGCCCACTTCTCCAATAGCACATGGGACGTTCCTGTCGTTCCTGTTGACAACGAGAAGTTGGACATCGATCATGCCCTCTCCTGCAGGCATGATATCCTTTTGTGTTGCGAGGAAAGTTGAGTCCTCAGATACAGGAGGGATCGCAAAATATGAAACAGCACGTTGGGTTTCTGTAGTGCCGTACATGTTAATGATTCTTACGTTGGCTGCAAGGGATTGTAACCTGAGGCAGTCGCGTTTAGTGAGGACATCCCCAACGAAGAAGGCATTGAGGAGTGAGGGGATTTGACGTGTGGCTTGCGCGGAGAGGAGTTGCCCCATAGCCGGAGTGAGGTGAGTGACAGTAACTTCGCTATTCGCCATCCATTCAGCCAGGCGTCCGGGAGTGCCAATATCCTCAGAGGTAGGGACCCTGAGCTGAGCACCAAAGAAGAGGGGTGTGAACACTTTGTCGATCGTCAGAAGTTGGTACTAAAATAAGAGAGACCACTGACTATCGCGTTGGATAGGGTCATGGGCGATCCCACTGAGCATCGTGAATTTGGAATTTTCATTCAGCCCAAACCTCTCGCCCATCCACGGGAAGAAGTGTGTGAGACTGAAGTGTCGTCCTCTGACACCCTTCGGTATACCTGTACTTCCACTGGTAAACGAGAGGGTACCAACGCTGTCAGGCCCTAGGGCCACGTTTGGGTCAATATGTCCAAGATGGGCGTGGACTGAAAGGATATCCTGCCCATCCGCGTCAATGCCCCCCGTAATGCTGCCGTCAGGGAACACTTCAAGCGCGGGAACTTCGACTCGGATATGTAGTTCTTCAGATAGGAATTCGCGCGCAGAAGGGCTGATTGTCCCGGCACCTTTCAATACGACCAATCCTCGGGGTTGGGCGACACGGAGGTAGATAATTTGTCGAGACGCAGGATAGGCAGGATCTGACCAAAGATGGTCAGTGGTGTTTCAAAACGAATGATGGATGCAAACCTATGACTGAGAACGTTGCACCAGCCTTGAGCACAGCCATAACCGCAACAACTAGATCGACACTGCGATGGGCGTAAACCATGACAACCTCTTCTCTTTGCACACCGCTTTTGATGAGGTGGTGCGAAAGAACGTTGGACGCGCGGAGGATCGCATCATAAGAGAAAGTGATGCTCTTCTGAGGGTCATTCAAGGACTCTGGAGGGAGATATTGTACGACGCAAGGGCGCTCAGGCCAACGACGTGCATTTTGCGAGAAAACATCGGTAATAGCACCCTTCCAGTCACACCAATTGAGATCGGCCGTCGGGACAGGTAATTTGGCCTTTTGTGTCGGGGTAAGGAGAGGCACCGCACCTACGGGGGCGAGGGGACTTGAGGCGACCTTGCGGAGGAGGACGGATAACTGGTCAACGATGCAAGTTATTCGAGCGGAAGTGAATAGCAGAGAATTGTATAGAATCCTTAACGATATCCGAGGAGCGATGGAGGCGCGCGTCGAAGTGGGTGGGCGCGTAATGAAGATGGTTAGGTCTGAAGAAAGACTTGTAGATCGGATAAAGTTGTCCTTGGGTTCGTCTGTTTCGTCGAAGAAACGGACACGGAAAAGTGGTCCCTCGATCCCCTCATCCTTCCCTTTGCTCAAGGCGCGCGTGAGCACATCAAATGGAACGGCGTCCGACTCAGCTTCGCTCTCAATTTGTTGAACGCGCCTGACAATCGCCCAATATGGATCCATTGGATCGACGGAAAGTCGGAGTACAAGGGGTTCCCTGACAGCGGCTGAAGAAGAGCCGATGACGATGTCCGTATCACCAGTGTACCGATGCAAGAGAACGGTGAAGGCTGCTAAAAGCAAATGAAACGCCGATGGTCGCTTGACGCCGCTCTCAACTTCATCCTCGTCTTCATCTTCGTCTTCTGTGTATAAAACGAGTTTGAGGAGACTGAGGGAGGTTTGTTCGGATAGCTGGGTGAGATGAACGGCCTCAACGAGCTTGTTCGATCCTGTGGGACGTGGGTAATCGGTGGGAAGAGATATGGAGGGGAGGCTTTGAAGTCTGGCCAGCACCCTCGCAAGTCGATTGTCCTCCATGCCCGTGAGGATGATTGGAGAAATATGACTCGGAGCGCTAACCTTTTCTTTTTTTTGTTATCAGTTGGAGTTGTGATGACGATTCACGTGACTTAACGCATCATGCATCATGGCCTGAATTTGGTTTTCATTTTGAATTGCGACCTCCAACATGCCCAGGGGTCGCAAAAAAGACCTTACGAAACCACCTGTTCGCTCTTTGATCCAGCAACGCGACTATCGCGACAGAAAAGCGCGGTACATTGCCGATCTCGAAGAACGGTGTCGAAATGCAGAGGAAGAAAATGTAACGCTCAAGGAAGAAATCAGGAAGCTCAAAGCAACTCAAGGTTCAGTGGGTTTGATGGACCAGCGCAACCCGGAGACGGTTTCTTTCCCTTTCTCTCCTTTTTACGAATATTTGGCCTAACCATATCGTAAAGGCAGAAGCTGCGGCAGACCTCTTCGAGAAGCTCTCCCAAGCATCGGGTTCATTGGCGAGATTTCAAGCCCTGGCATCTGGTCGCTCCACGAAACCATGCTATGGCAATAGTGACGATACTTGCACCTGCGATAACGCCGAAGTTATATCGGTGCCCCCTTCCGAACCTCTCCCATCTGCGTTCCATTCGCCAGACATCAGCACTCCTCATTTCGTGGCGGAACACGCATCACACCCGGCTGACGATATTCTTGACACGGTACCGACACCAACCTCCGACAAATGCTGCGCAGGTATCTTTGAATGTGAAGGAGAGCTTGAATTTAGCGCAATCTCCTCAAATTCCTTGGAGAGATGGTCTGGTGTACGTTCCACCTCCGGTCAACGCTTTTATTCATAATAGGACAACAACCTACATACCGAAGTGAATTATAATTTCGGAGGAGGGTATCACAAGTTGTGGAGGATGTGGCAGGGTTCACCTTGCTTAGCGACCTATGTGAGCCTCCCAATGTCGGGTTATAACAATGTAATATTTATTACAAGCCTTCCCGAATTGCAAGCTACCTGACCTGCGCATGATGTTACATCCTGCGAAAGACATTTTTACTACCACTCCGCACACCCTTCCTCCTTTGTGTTCTCCCCTTCCTCCCCGACTCCGAAACCTCCTCCCCACCCTTCTCCATTCCCGCCCCAAACACCTCCACGCCCTTTCTCCTCTCCTGCTTTTTGCCTCCCCCTTGCCTACTGCCATCGTCATCCTTGGCACTGGACGCAGAGGGTACCCAGCTGATTTCCATGGCACCATCGTCCTTGCCCAAAGAAGGTTTACTTGGCCGCCTTGAATCTTTAGATGACGAAGAAGGCGCAAGACGTTGACCAAAGGAGGCGTTCCGATCGCCCAGACGTTCAGAGTTTGTCCCCGTGGCACGGATGGGAACCATGTTAATGTTGGCGACCCTGTTGTGCTCCCTGGTACGGTCGTAAGCTTGCTGAACACGGAGATTCTTTTGCCCAGGCCTTGAACGAGGATCGAACTTCGTAAGTTCTGCAAAGACGTGAGTGATAGCATAGGTATGTATCGAGGAATGAACGTACCTCCAGCGTCGCTGCTGTCACTATCACTGTCATCTCCGCTTTCGCTTTCACTCTCCCCAAGGCCATCAGAAGAAACCTTGTCGCTCTCTTCTTCTTCTTCTTCCACAGCCGTCTTTCGCCTGTTCCCAGGCTTCTGCCAGGCAGCAGACGGATTGAGCAGAGCAAACTCTCTCGTGTTTTCATCAATTGCGAACTCGGGGTCCTCAAATACTTTCGAGAAACGTGGATCGGAAAGTATACTCGGCTTTCCGTCGGCTTCGTCTCCCTTCACCTCTTCTTCATCACTAGCCTCTTCTCCATCCACCGCCATCTCATCGTCCACTGCCGGCTGCATCTTGCGCTTCTTCTTCCTCTCTTCCTTCTTCTTAGCCCTCTCTTCCTCCTTGAGGATCTTCTCAGCAAGAGCCTTGTTGACCTTGACTCCAACCTCTTTCTTGGAGCGGATACGCGTTTCAGCCATCTTATCCAGCTTGTCACGGACCACCTTCTCCCGGTGTTCGGCGTACGCAAATGGATTTGCGATTATACGTGCGGTGTCGTATAATTTGAGGGAAATGAAATAGCCATGCATGTACGGCTTGAGGGTGGGTGTGCCGACCAGATGATCCAGACCGAGCCTATGTTTCTAGGAGTGAGCGTAGACAGCAAGGTAAATCATGAATACCAACGTTTTGAGCTCATTCCTCTCCACGAATTTGTAATCCTCGTAGATAGAGCGTGTCGTCTGGTCCTCCATTTCTTCGGTAATGTTCTCCAGAAAACTGGCCCAGCGAGGCGCAGGCCCTAGCTGAGGGATGAAGTACGTTACCATTTGTATGCCTTCATTTGCTGTCATCAAGAGCCCACTTCCTGGGACGTGATGAACGTCATTTAGATCGTTGGCAGGCGTAATTGAGGCAAAATTTGTTGAAGGCTGAAACTGGTATGAATAGAGAGTGGAAAAGTCAAAGCGAGAATTACGCACAGAATTACGATCCCAGATTTTGATGACCTTCTTGTCAGCGGAAAGGACCATTCCATCTCCAGCCATCCGACTTCCACCCTCAATCCAAGCAACATTTTTTATTGGTAATCCATAGCCTTGATCCTTCGTCGCAAAAGGTTTGGCTGCACGAATGTCATAGAGTAATGTGTGTCCGGTGGATGTACCAACGGCGTACGAAAGCCCATCTGGTCTTGATGAGATGGCTGTGACGCTTAAACTGTGGCTGCCTGCTCCACTTGCAGTGACGGGCATCAGTCGATTTCTTGGTAGCCGCAGTATGCCGACACTGGTTCTTGAGCGCGGGTCCCAAAACTGTACAGTCCCATTACCGTCAACGCCAAAGGCAAGCAGTTGGTGAACGGGGTTGATGTCGATTGTGTTGACGCCTAATATTTCGCCATCCGAAGATTCATCTTCTAGTTGAAGAGGGTTGAGAAAACAACCTTGTTCAAGATTGAGCCGGTAAATTTCGTTTCCAGAGGCGGAAAAGTAGGCATCGCAGGAGGGAAAGTGATAGGCAAGGGAGCGGCCGAACCGTGGTATCCGCGTACGGTAATGGAAGCCCCCTTGTGTATGTAGTTCAATGGTGCGGTCGTTTTGGAGATGGATGGACTTGGTCCAGTCATCTGATAGAATCTAAGGGAGGGAAGGACGTTAGCTTCAGAAAAAACCTTTCCCAGCTGGCCTCAAAAGATGAGACGACTCACGCACAACGAAGTCGACGTTCTCGGCGTCAGAATGCCGTTCAAACTTGAGCGAGAGTTGGTCCAGATCCCATACTCTCATCTGCGGCTTGTAAGTGCCTGTTGCGATAACATGGTGTCCATCGCGAGTTGTTTTCACTCTGTTGCTTGCCTCGGGGAATTCAAAACCTTGGATAAGTTCAATGGTCCCTTCAAAGTGTTCCCGTATCGCCCGTTTTCCCTTGCCTTTCGCTGAGGCTCTCTTTCGAGTTAGCCAATCAGGCAAAGACGACGATGAACCGGCCGCGGTGCCATTGACAGTGTAAACCCGAACGTTATGAGGGTCTTGCACCATGATCTACACAAAAGAAGATCGGTCTTGAAGTAACCTGCAATGTTGAGGTCTGAGGAGGTCTGCAAATTTTGTTTTCGATGAGAACGGCTTTTTTTTATCATGTGACTTCAGAACCTCTCTTTGTCTCTTCGAGTATCGTAATATCTCCAGGGTATCTCTGGCGTTCACCGGTCGCCTTCTGGAACCTCTACAAACGTCGCAGTCAGCTTTCTACACCTTTCCGGACAATGGCAATGTCGTGCCCTGGTCGCGCCCGTACGCACGAGCTACCAACGTGGCCGACAAAGTGATCTTTGTTCTCGATGCATTGTTGCTACAAATCAGCATACTACCAGTAGTATAAATCGCGGCCGCTATCCTTTGTTTGCCACTCTCCTTTTAAAAAGAGATTACCCTCTCCTCACGCGAATATGCATAACTGTTTGATGGTGCAGGAACTTCTATCCGAGATTTTTCAACATATTTTCAGTGACCCCTACTCTGGCTATCGGACAGAGGCCGATAGAAGCAATCTCTACCACGACAGAACTGCATTAGGGACCCTCGCAGGACTAGCAAGAACGTGTAAAACCTTTCACGAACCTGCTCTGAACCGTTTGTGGCGGGCTCTGCCTTCCCTTATCCCCTTGGTTCAATGCCTTCCCCCCGACGCATGGACAATCAGTGAATCAACGCTGGTGAGAATTTTCCGGTTCCAAGCATTCGCTACCTAGCAAGCGTTTTATTGATTTTATTTAGAGCATAACCAGGAGCATAGAAGCGTCTGACTTCAAGCGGATTCTCTTCTACAGTCCTAGAGTCAGAGTCATTGGACAGGAATATAGCACAAGCTTGGAATACTGGGATACGGAAACACTGCGCATGGATACCCAGGTTCTCCCCGTCATTTGGTCCCGAAAACCGAATCCCGGGCCTCTCTTGCCACACCTTCTCGACTTCTGTCTGTCGAGCAGTGACTTCGTAGATGCAGCAATCTACCCTCGCCTTATTGTCGGTCCAAAACTCCATTCCGTTCGCATTGAAGCACATCTAGAACAAACCCCTTGGGACAACATCACGGCGGTGCTCAACGAAGTGGTTCCCCAGTTGACAAGTTTCATCATTTTTGCTGAGGATCTCGATGAAGGCTTTAAAATCCTGGAAGGTTCTCAAAAAGCTTTGAAGCTGTTCCCCTCCTTCCATGGTCTAGAGAACCTCGGTATTAGCCGCATTCCTCTTACGCCGCAGGCACTCACTCTAGTCACGGAGCTCCCCAACCTACCCATGCTTGAGATCGCCATAACGGACAGAGCCTTGCAGATATTTACGCTTTCTCAAGCCAGCAAAGACAAGGGCTTCCTTGCCCTCTCAAACTTGCGAGTATACTCCAAAAGCTTGACGGCTTGCCAGATGCTCCTTGAGCAGGTCAAGTCAAAGTCCCTTTACGGCTTGGAGGTCTTTCGAAGAGGGCATCATCAGTGGGATCTGAAATCCTTTTTTCGATTCCTTTGTGATCGTGATCTCGGACAGAAGATGCTCCTCCTGGGGGTGTCCCAAAGCCGACCCTGTATGGACGTGATAAGACACGAAGAGGTATTCCACCTCCGCTCCGACACCTTTGAACCATTAGCCTCATTTGGAGAGTTGGTCGACGTTCAGATCGACCCATGCTCTTCCATCGGTCTCACCGACGCAAGCCTTCTCAAAATGGCGAAGTCCTGGCCCACATTATACAGACTCAGTTTCTATGAGGCAACGATGGACGAGGAGCCTAAAACCACCTTCTTTGGATTCCAATCTCTCATCGCCCACTGTCCACTGCTTACGTACCTCACTCTCCGCATCAATGCCAAAACGATACCATCTTTTTCACAATGTGGTGGAGACTATCCTGTTGGCAAAACACTCCAGAATGTGCACATGTGCACCTCGCCTATAGTGAACGCTGAAGCTGTTGCAGCTCACCTGACGCTGCTCTTGAAAGATTGAGCTATGGCTGGATCGATTGCGATCGTCAACGATATCACGATTATGATCAAGAGCAGAAGACGTACGCAGATATTTGGTGGAGGACAACATCGTTACTGGAACCCACCTTAAAGGCACGCAATGAATAGGGCGGTGGGTTACGGAATTGACTTCATGGGGTATATACATGCGATGGGGTCTCGTAAAGAAAAGTCGAGGTAGTCGACGAAGAAGCAAGAGTCTGGATGGACGTCTCATTCAAATAACAGGGTGCTGTAATGTATGTGTTATCTTCATACCAACCTTTGAAGTACCCAACTTGAATTGTAGAACATACGTCCATCCGTTGTCTCAGCCTGGGTGCCGTATCAATATGTAGACCTGTTGCATTGTGGTTGGGATATCGAGAAGTGAATGCAGTGGGAAGGGGCCATTGTCAACTCAAGGAATCGACGTCAACGAGGCACAGTACTTTCCTCAGAAGTAATAAAGACAAAGAGTGCGCGGCTCGGGTCGACCGAGGGCACGGCCCCGCTGAAAAGACTCATTGAGATACCGGGTTCGAGCTCAAAGAGAAATAGACATACCCTAACCACAAAAAGGCAATCCTCTGACATAGAACTCCCGACCACATCTTGTAAAGGCGGGCACGATACATGCATGGCGCTCCCCATGTCGTGAGTAGTGCAAAGTCGGTCCATACGCGACAATTGAGTTTTCCAGCTAGGATCCTTTTCGCTGGCGACTCTGGTGCTACGATGGTTGCCGAGAAAGGTCTTGCTCGTTTCAGAGTTGAAATCCAGCATCTGCATGTTGTGAACGTTTCCGCCCGTGGTCGTCCAGAACAGTCGTTGCCCACAGAACTTGTAATCTTTGCCGGAAATGTTCAACTCGCGCCAGAAGCCTTGCCTTTGTTCGAATAATGTGGACAAGTTCCCCACGACTATAATTTCACGAGCATCTGCGTAGGGCTTTTTCTCAAACAGAATTCGGAAGCCAATCGTCCGTTGGTCGGGGTCGTCGAAAAATCCCGCAGAAAATCTGATTTGTTCCGATGTGTGCGGAGAAACAGTCGGAATAAAAAGTACACCGCACGGAAGTCTCCCAGATTCATAGAACCTCGTCAAGAATTCAAAAGGGATCAGAAAACTAGTGCGATCTTTGAGATTCCTGATGGCCAGACGGGCTCCTTGAACGTGGGGGTGATGCGGACTAAGGACACCGTATTCCGAGACGAGAAGGGTATGTTGATCGGTGAACATATAGCTCAGCTCTCGGGCATCCGAGCCAAGCTGTCGTAGGTTAGGATAATTCCCTGAAATACAAGGATGGACGTACATGGATATTTTTTCCGGACCCCTCCTTCCAGTCAACGATGTGCAAACTTTCGGAACGGAGTAACGCGACGACGTATTGGCCCTTGATAGAAACTTGAACGGGTCTTTTGCAGCGGAACTTACAAATTCCTTCAACCTTCAATTTTGACGTGCTAGAAAGGCTCTGAACAGATATGTGGGTAGCATAAAAATCTTTTTCATTGTAATCTTCAAAGTCGTCGTGATATGGGCTACAAATTAACGCATTTCAGAAGACGCAGAAACCCCGATGGAGCGGACAAACTTTGTAGCCACGGCAAAAATATCTTCTTCAAGGTCAATCACGATGTCAAAAACCACCTCGGGAAAGCTGAAGGAATGAACCCGGTATTCACGCCCAGTGCGATCAGAACCAGGTTGGAAGATCTTTATCTTGGTGGCAGTCTTATATCCACCTGGGCGTTCGACGGTATAAAAACAGCCCCCAGACTCACCCATAAATCCGGCATTAACACGGGCCTTCTGGTCATGCCAAGGTATCGCAGGAGAAACAACGTCGAGTGCTGCGTATATCGCCCGCGCCCACCTCAACGTCGACCTTCGAGCAACAAAAGCTTGGATGTAGTCGGGAATGGTGTTCAGAGGTTGCTGTAAAAATCTCGTAGACCTGGAACCCAAGCTCAACCCCGCTCTGTAGCATTGAGCTTTCAGATGTTCCAACGTGGCCTGACCACTTTGTAGTGCTGAAGCCATCGGCCTCCAAACCTACAACGGCACAAGGTAAATTGACAAGGTTGAAGGATGGTATACCATGTTGGACACGGCCTACCTGGGACAACTTTGCAACCGATTTAGCATCGAGATTATCTGCAATCCCGAACGCCACATCCATTGGAAGGTTGTTAAAACTTGAAGTGGTCGGGGAAACTCCGAAGCTAGATCGAGCAGGGGAAGTTGGAAAGGTCGGGCTGGTAGGGGTCATTCCAAAGGTTGAGCCGGTAGGGGATGCTGGAAAGGTTGAGTAAGTAGGAGAGATGCCAAAGCCCGAATGTTTCCTTCCAAAGGTTGGGTGGGTCGGTGGAATGGGACTGCATTGACTGCGGGCCGTAGGACTTGGGGCAAAGTACCCATAACTTGGCGGGTAGTATGGTACGGTGTTGTAATTTGCGTAGCTCATGGTGCTTCTGTGTGGTCAAGATAGCACTCTACCTGGCCCTTATATATTTGAGCGGGATACCAAGTATTCCAGTTGTTATGCCATGACTACAGTGTCTTGAGCGGAGTAATTGTCCCATCTTCAACAGCGAAGAGCAACCGTCAATGCAGCAGAGACACACTGAACGGAGCATTGTTCTTTGGTAGCCATGACATGAGTTGACGATTAGGAGTTCTGGGTCTTCTTGAGGCCTAGGGTGAGATTTGAGTGTATAACAAAAAACGTCCGGAAAACAATAGTGTCAATTTGATCCGAGTGATGTTATCGACGCAGCCAGCTGATGTCAGGCGTCGTAGTCAGCAAACTCACAAAGGCAACAAAAAGGAAGTTATGATGGGCAAGCGGCCAACGAGCGGCCTTCACTTGCTGCAATACCTACACAGCCCGCAAATTGGACCTCAAGGTACTCAAATAAAATTTTGGTGACAGCACGAAGACATCACACGAAGGGGGTAGATTGACGTCGTTCGCTCGCCCGTGAATAGTACGTACATACACCTTCGAATGTTTCCAACACCTTGCGAAAAGATGGGGCGGTGTGGCAGGAAAGGTCCTAGCGACCCAACCTCTAATAAGTTTTCTTCTTTTCGTCCACAGAAAGTCCACCTGTTCAGCGACATGTCAGACTATCTGAACGCAACGATCCACAGCGATGGAAACGCACCAGGACCCATGTTGACGAGGAGAATAAGGCCTCCAACGATAGCTGAACAAAAGCAAAATGAGCGCGCCTCAAGAGCGTGAGAAGGGCATGGAACGAACAAAGAGTTTGGAAGAAATCGTATCTGGGTTGATTTGGTCAGCTACGCGTCATGCAGACAAAGGAGGGGCTCACTTTAAGAAATCGCGGGTAGGATGTGCGGAATGCACGGCCCACCAGTTGTTGGCAAATACGTTGAAGATACTCAGGACAATGACGAGGAATGCAGCGGACCACTTGGCCTTGAAGCCAACGGCAACCATGACGCAAGCGGCGAGACCAACGATAGAGACAAGGACACGGACGATGTTCCATTCGCCTTGAAGAATGAAGCCGAGGAAGAGGAAAATGAGAAGAACACGGCCGGCAAGAAGGAAGCTATGGGTTGTTAGCTTCCTGAAAGGACGGGATGACGGGCGCTCTCACTATTTCTTGCGGTCCGTCTCACTGATAGTCGGTAGACCAGCGAAGAGAGTTTTTCTGGAAACCATCGAGTCACTGAACACCATAAACAGACCGCCGATCACGCTCAAGTTGCGGAGGAAGAAGTTGAGGTCAAATATAAGCCCGTAGCCAAATCCTTGGATGATTACAACGGCCAAAAGACCGCCCACCGCGTATTCAGTGTATCGTTTGAGAATGATTGCCGAAGAGCCTGCGAGCATGGTCTGAATGGCAAAGATAAGTAGAGGCGAGGGCAAATGACAATATATATCTTACTAGGACGTTAATGATGAGGAAAATGTGGGAGATGCCCCAGGGAAAGTGTCGGTGTCTGGTTGATGCAGGTATCAGTGATACCAAAAGGCGCGACGGCATGTAAATCGCACTGTTGCAAATACCAAATCTGATCCCCCCATTGTGTCACAATCCTCAACGCATCCTCCAAGAATGTCACTACAATCAAGAAACGACCAATCGCCGGCAGGTGAGGTTTTAAAGGTTGTGAGTAAATCTCGGTGTTGTCCTCGACAATCTTGCTAAACGCCCGGATCTTCTCGAGCGGGTCGTCGGGATTAGCAGCCCTGTATCCAGAAGACCGCCCCGAGTTGGAAAGCCCATGGGGGTCGACGTTGAACGAGTTTGTCTGCGGGCGAGCGATGCTGATTCTTGAGGACATGGTGGTGAGGGTTGAGTGGAAAGCTACTACTAACGTGTCATCATATGGTCACGACGTGGCGCGGCTTACGTAAAGATGCCCGAACACAGGTTTGCGTGATTTTCGTTTCATCGCGTTTCGCGTTTGATACTTTTTTTTCCTTCCTAAAAATAACCGGTAGCCATAAAATCCTGTGTCATGTCGCCGCATCAAATGCAACATCCCCTACTTCGCTGGTGGAGAGTTGGCCATGCTATCATGATCAGGAGCCAATGGATTGGGCGGGGCAGTAAATTTTAACAAGATTCACGACCCCGAGCCGATCTCAAATACTGGCGACATTACGGTGCATTTGAGCCTGGGATCCAGACCTAGTGCGAACAAAGGGAGGCCAATCGGTTTTTTCTGCTGGGCAGTTGGTATTGTCAATTGCAACTAGTATGCTCACGATCAAATTAACTGCCAAAGAAGTTGAGGTAAAACGAAGTTAAATGTCATACTTAGAATTCTCTCGAGGGTTGGGATGGATGAAGAGGTAGATACAGTTGGGTGATACGCGATACTAACGCTACAAGAGCTAAAAATAGGCTAAAAATACAAGGAAAGCCTGGGGCTAGAAATACAAAAACCGGGGGCTAGAAATACAAGAAACTGGGGGCTGGAAATACAATGTTTTTGGGACTAGAAATTGAGTGTTCGGGAAGTAGGTGGGAAGTGAAAGTTTGAGGAACTCATTCGGAAAATTCAACCTGAAGTTTAGCTTTGGACGACAACATTTGTCCAAACCGACGCCTAAACCATACCTCCACCAAGTCTATATCTCTGCCGATGCCAGAAACCGAAAAACGAAGGTGTCGGAGCTCCGCCAGCGGCGGGCTCAAAAGAATGCGGATCAGAGCGCTCCAGTTGATTAAATCAAGCTGCGATTCTGCGCTCAACCAGACATGGAATGTAACTTGTAAAATCTTGCGGGATTGGATGGTCCCCAGGATATCTGTAACCCATCTATAGCGAGAAGTCGGGTCATTAGATGACTGAAATGCCGTCGTGGAGAAATCACGAAAAGGAAAGTGGAAGAGAACAACTTGATGACAGGCAATTGTTTTCAGTTGAGTGTTGTACGAAAGATCAACCAAAGAAAACATGTCTATGGGTATAATTAGACAAAGATGCATGTATAAATTATTACCAACGAACCTCTATCGTCACTATTATCGGAACCGTGTGAAAGGAAACCAATTTCAAGATTTTCCAAAGACGCTCCAAGGGTGCGCAAAAGTGACCCAAGAAGATGGCCTTCATTCGGGAAAATCTCGGGAAGAGCAAGGTGGGTAAGACGCGGAGGGGTTAAATGGTCTTCCTCGATGACTCTTCCCGAAGCTAGCTCAGGCCAAATCCATAGAATTATGGGCCGGAAAGAACATGACGCGATCCGTAGTTTCTTCAACACGGAGGTTTCAAGAGGAGGCAGCTGGCCTTCCTCTATATGAGCGACATTACTGCCCCATGTCACGCCTTCTACGGAAAGCTCTCGGAGATTGTAGAAAGTGCTGATGAAGAGAGCGAGGGCGGAAAAGGAAGGAAAGTGAACGGAACGAAGAATCAATGATGAAAGTCTATGGGAAAGAGGAGTTCCTGCAGCTGTCAATGTAACCGATCTCCAAAGGTCATGCGTCTCCCAAGTAACCACCCTGTTCATGCGAAGACAAGCAAGGTTTTCCAGGTCGCCGAGAAGTAAAAACAGGTCTTCTTCACTTTTCCCATTCGGATCCCCCCATCCGCCATTGATGATGACTTTGCGGATAAAGGGAATGACCTCTTGGTTTGCGCGCGAGCGAAGAAAGGTAGCGAATTTTTGACTAAGAACGACCTCAGAGAATAGGTGATACCGGCATGTCGGGAGCCAGGAACGCCATACGGTACTGCAAGCAGAAAGCGCAGATGGTGAATCGTGAAGGTTATCAAGGATCCTGTCGTACAGCTCTGGAGCGACGCGAGACGTCAAATGGAGAGGCAACGGGTCCACAATTGCCGCCCCCATAAGACGCGAAATTGGCAAGCGGAGCGAGAGGCTGACAAGAACCTTGAGCTCTAGTATTCATTCCAGCTCTTTTCATAGTCTCAAGGGCAGAAAGATTCCGCGTTTTGTTCGGACCCAAAAGCCTCGCGCATGCCACGCTTCACCACGAAAACAACGACGGCCATTTGGGGATCGTAAGGTTCAGAGTAGTCCTGTGAAAAAAGGGGAACAAGTACAACAGTGGGTGTTTTGCCGCCGTTTGGCACTAAAAAGAGCCTGTAATTGGCACGTGACGACATAGGAGACTGAGTTTACGGACGCGACAGTTCTTTCTCATCTTCACTCTCACTCCGACAGGAAGAGGTGCAACGCTCTGAGTCAGGGAAACTGAGAAACCAGTGTCAAGGATGCCTAAGCGACGCCGAACTTCGGACCCAGACTCAGAGGGAGATGGGAGCGATTTTGAGGGGTCAAAGTCTGGCGAGGATTCGGACTTTCAAGACGCGTCTTTCAGCAAGAAAACGAAGAAGAGGGTCAAAAAGCAGCACGTGAAGAAGAAGGGCGTCGTCAGACCACGCTCCGTAGACGTGGACGAAGTGGACACGGATATCCAGATCCATATATCTACTCATTCTAAATCAACTCACATTATCAGCTCACCAGGGCCAATGCGCGTCGCTCTTCTTCGCTGGTATCGAACTGTGCATGATACTCGTCGCATGCCCTGGCGAAAGCCTTACAATCCTTCTTGTGGTGCGGAAGAACGCGCACAAAGGGCCTATGAGGTGAGTTGGCTTATGTTCCCTGTAATCCTAGAGAGGAACGCTGAATGTCTCGTCTGAAATAACACTCGACTAGGTTTGGGTATCGGAGATCATGTTGCAACAAACACAAGTCGCGACAGTTATACCTTACTACACTCGCTGGATGGAGAAGTGCGTTCATCTGTAGTGCAGTCAAGCACCAATGCGATACGGATCTTCAACTAATCTTGAATTCCATAGGTATCCCACTATACGCCACCTCGTTGGTCTATTCCCTTCGCAAATTCTGTTTGAGTCTGACGGCGCTGGCTAGGCATCCGCGAACGTCGACCAAGTCAATGCGCTTTGGAAAGGTTTAGGATATTATAGTAGGGCAAGTCGGTTACTTGCTGGTGCTCAAAAGGCCATACAAAAATATGGGGGAAGATTGCCCGACAATGCGAAGGAGATGGAGGCCAATATACCTGGAATCGGCCGATATAGTGCGGGTGCTATTTGTTCGATTGCCTATGGCGAGAAAGTTCCTGTTGTAAGCGTCTTAATATACTTTCATGTCTGAACTGACTTTGACGTGTAGTTAGATGGTAATGTTCACCGTCTTCTGAGCAGGGTCCTTGCTCTTCATGCGCCCCCAAAAGCTAAGTCAACCCTCGACATACTCTGGGACGCGGCAACTGTTATGGTGCAAATTGAAGGTAGATTGGTTGACATCTAATTTCGTGAAACGTGTTAGAAATCAGTTTCAGAGGCCGATACCACGTCGCCACCCCAGTACGCAGGCGACATCAATCAAGCGTTAATCGAGCTGGGGAGCACAGTTTGTAAGGTTCGCGATCCCGAGTGCGGAACCTGTCCGATTCAAAATTGGTGCTCAGCATACCAGAATTCGGAACCCAAGGAGAGTGCAAAGGTCCGCTCCCTTCTCGTCGTAATGTCTTCAACGTTTTCGTTAACGGTGTGGGCGGGTAGGAGGACAACACCCATATGGTGGACATAGAAGATATTTGCGGCTTGTGTGAACCGCTTACCGGCGCCGGGGTAATGTCCTACCCTATGAAGACTGAACGTAAGAAAGCCAGAGAGGAATTAGACATCGTCAATGTGGTAGAATGGCGACCAATCCAGAATTCTGATGAAAGATGGTTTTTGTTTAGGAGGCGACCAAGCACAGGTAGGACCTTTTTCATCTAATAATCTGATGTATAGAGGTGATATTCATCATGACCAGGGCTTTTAGCAGGTCTCTATGAATTTCCTACCTCTCCCGCGGTATCGAAGCCCATCAGTCATGATGCGCTCAAGCACATCCCGTACAACTTGATTTCTCAGGTTGTCCAGGATGCAAGAGTCTTTCCTCTCAGCACTCATGCCCAAAAGAGCGGAGAAGATCTTGAGGATGACTGTGAGGATCTTCACCTTCGCATATCGAAAATAAAAGTTGCCGGCGACGTGGTCCACCTTTTCTCACATGTGAAGAAGACATACAGGGCGCAATGGGTTCTCCTAGAGGGTGGCTCGACGCCACCTACCCTGAAATCAAATTTAGAGGTGGAGATACCAATTAAAAAGTCCGGAAAGCGGAAAACTTCGCCCGCGACAGGCGGCCCCGATACGGAATCGCCTGCACATGCAATGTGGGTACTTTTAGATGATGTCGCTGATGTCAAGTACGTCGATTTCTCTCTCGCTCATATAACTACATAGTTGACTTATTTAGTATGGGAACTGGGGTCGCTAAAGTGTGGAACTTAACACAAGCGTTGTGGGGAAAGAATATCGACAGAGATTGATCTGACGCTGTTGGAATACTTTTGGCGTTCTGTCAGGTTTTTACCCTCTTGATTGTATATAGTCTTACCAACAGTAACCAACGTGGCCGGCCCTTTTTTTTCAGCCGGATTCACAAGTAGATTGGATACACCGTGAAAGAGTCGGCTCCCCCTTGCTGCCTAAGGCCTTCCCTATTGAGTACTTATAATTTGTTAAGAAATCTTCAATGCTTGGTACCTAGTCCCAGTTTGTTGGTGCCAATCAACTTGTTTACTTAAGTACTTGAGCTTGACTACAGGTTTGCTCCAGGTAGAAGCTTGAAGGGTCCCGGGACTCTCGGACCTTTCAGTGCGGTCATGTGACCAACCACATTTGTTTGCTGTCGTGGTTTGAGCGCTTACTATATGGGTCATCAATCCACACTCGACACGTTGTTTTCTTCTTTGCTCTCTCTATCCTGTGTACGGTCCGAATGGCCGAAAACGGCTTCACAATCGAAAGGAATGGCACGTTCTAGTGAGTTTCAATTGGTGTTACCAAGGCTACCTCTAACTTTTGTTTCAGTTCAATTCTCAATGTTCACAAGGATGCATCGCAGGCAGAAATCAACGAACGGCACAGGGCTCTTTCCCTGATCTTTCACCCAGACAGGCAGCAGGACGAGGCTGCGAAGGAGACAGCCACCCGTGAGTTTCTCAAAATTCAAAAAGCATACCAGGGTGTGTTCAATTGCTTCCCATCCAACAAAAGTTCGGCTCATTTTTTTTCAGTTTTGTCGGACCCTTTTCTTCGGTGAGAATACGCAACGTACGTTTCGCTCACTTGGCTCATGTCGGGTAGACTGGTCTACGATACATTAGGTATTTACCAAGTGTTCGGCATCGATCTACATTGACTCATCATCTTGGCAGGTGAAAGAGGGCTTGCTATCAGCTGGCCGGAGGAACTACAGACGAAACCTACAGAAGAGGTTGGGAGTGTTACGTATTTTGGACGTTCAATTTATCTGAATTATACTCAGATTCGGCATACCCTCACGAGCACTATTTTGGAACTTGACCGGAAGCAGAAAAGAGACTTGATCCTACCGCGGGGGAAAGTCGCTTGTAGTATATTGGCTGGGTCTTTGTTTTCGGCCGACGTTGGATCAGCTTCCGACAAATGGACCACAAGCCTTTCAAAACGGATACGAGGAGTCCACTTCGTTCCAATCAGTGTAAGCCACAATGTTCAGGTTTGCATTCAAGTCCAATTACCTTCAAAGATCAATCTGACCAACGGGATAGAAAAAAATCAACGAAAAGACCTCCGTTGGATTTGAGGCTCGCGCTACCTTCACAGGAAACAAAGCCGCATCCCCCGATTACCTGGGTACCGTCCGCCACCAATGGTCGCCACGGATAGAATCAGTGGTTCGTTTTGTTTCATGACTGCCTCTGAATCAAGGCCTGATATTGCTCCTCTACAGGCAAATTTGAGTTTTCTCTATCCACACGTGACAAAGGTTGAAACTACCTACCGTGACGAGGATAACACACTGAAAGTCAAGGGCGTGGTTGCTTCAAACTATCATTTGGTACCCCCAGCTCTGACTGTCTCCTTTTCTCGGAAACTGTTTCGCTCAGGTCCTGAAAGAGGTAAAATTACTCTTCACTTAGGCCGCAAGTTCCCTTCGCTTGCCTTGATGTATTTGTCGCCACCCTCCATAAATTTATCAACACTTGTGCGCCAGAAACAAAGTCTTCCTTCCATCTCAGGGTTTCAATATAGAGCGATTGAAAAAGCTTTTGGAATCTCTTTCATGGGCATTCTTCCGAAATTGTCAGCATCTGCTGCCGTTACATTTACAGAGCTGTCAACCAGAATTCGAGTGGCACTCGAATACGGGCTAGAGGGCTTATCATGGTCGTTTTCTGCACAATGGTCGGGTGACGCAGTTGGGGTCAGTGCGAGCACTGTAATACAAGCTACTGCCATTTTGTTGCAACTGGAGTTAGTGAAGTCTTTTCTCCTGCTCTATGTCGCCTTTAATGATGATCCCAGCTTCTCGTACCTTGAACAGCAATTATCATTGCCAATCATATTGTCAACGGAATTCAATGCATTCATTGCTTGGGGTACCATCATCTTACCAACAGCTTGCGCTTTGTTGGGACATCATTTCCTAATTATACCAGGTCGTCGCCTTCGGCGGCTTGCGTAAGTTCTTTTGATCATGATTCTACCAGGATCTTAATGCTTATAAAATCTTAGGAAAATTCAAGCCGCACATAAAATTTTCGAGGAAGATTCGGATTCAAGAAAAGAGAGAAACGCGGTTGAAAACTTGCTGAAAGATTCGGCGGGTAGGAGCGCTCGCGTGGAAAGGGGCAAGGAAGGTATGACCATGGAAATTGCCAGTCCTGTTTTCTTTGCCCTGAACCGTTTAATTAAGGTCTCGTCATCGAAGAAGCCATGTATGGTGCAGCAGAGGCAGACGAAGCTGCACGCAACTTGTCTCTCAATGTGACTACACCTGTACAGGCTCTTGTTCGCAAATCGCAGCTCTACATTCCCGGTGGTACCAAGGTATCGGACCGGAATTTCGATCATCCGATTCTCATCCCTTTTCTAATTCACACATTCTGCCAGTCTGTTTTACAGGGCTTCAGTGACCCTGCGCCTTTCACTTCAAAATCCTTGCGCGTTCGCTATCTTTTCCGTGGCCGCATACACTATGCAGACATTCCGGACAATGTCCCCGTCGTGCTGCCGTTGGCAGGTTCGTTTGACCACATGTGTTCCGTCACTCGGAAATTAACTGCAATTTGAACGACGAAAACAGAACACGAACTGGAAAAGTGCACCTAGTAACTTCCCTTCGCCACGGCCTTACAGTCAAATTTTCAGTCGCACAAAAAGATGAGTGACTTGCAGGATTTTCAACAAAGTTTCTTTATGTTGCCCGAAGTAGACGAGACCGTGGCGCTTTGCAAGGCCGAACGGATACGTGTTCTTGTCGAACCTCAGTATTATGCTTCTGTAAAGGGACCCACACGACGCTTTCTTGTACAGTCGGACCGAGTAGGGGAATTCCGAACGGTCGCCATGAGCGTGTCCTTACTACCGGCCTATCAAAGGAATGACCCTAGCGTCAGAAAAAAAGTCCTAAACAAGTCCTAAAAGCATCTGAAATAGCTAGCGCTATCGGAGGGTACTTCCGCCTTAATGAAAAGTTTACAAAGAGACTTTATTGACCACGAAAAAAAAACAGAAAAGCCAAAGAAGGAAATTTGCTCACTGAGTCTTTCTCACCGAATTATTATTAGAGTCAAACAAGCAAAGACACACAAAACCAATCACTTCCAAGTTCGCAAAGACCCATTCACCTTTTGCCATCCTTCCTTGCCAGCCTAAAAAAAAGCCAGTAACTGATGTACACATTACCGCGCTTTTCACATCTACGCGGAATCGCGTTGAGCCAAGCTGGCATTCGGCAACACCTTATGTAAGTGCGTCAACAAGCTCGACTTACCTACACCTCTAGCCTTCCTCCGTCCCCTCACATCGATTACCACATCAATAACATCTCATACTTACTTACTCCCTTGAAAGCCTCTGCTCGGATCTACAAACTTGATTTCCTATATATACAAATTTAGATGAGGACGTTCTATTTGCGTATAACTAAACGAATTGCCTCACGCTTCCGCGGCTACGAGTTTTCTGAAGTCGACCCAATCAAGCTGAGCCGCCAGCGTCGTGACGTCACGCGTCAACAAAGCTGCATGAAAGACGCTGTAAATATTTGGCTTCAAACCCTTCAAACTTCACTGCTCCACCCTTAAAAACCCCTCGTGAAAAGTGTCGCTTTCGCACGTCTGGCGGCCTTTGCCATTTGGAATCGATCGCGAAACTCATGGTTGTCACGCATGATCACCCTAACATGGTGGCAATGGACAGGAATTCTGCTGACTTATGCATATGGCAATCAGAATTGATCACTGGCAATTGTCGGCTTACCACCACGCAACGGTAGACCATCCCCCCATTCTGACAGGCGTCTCAGCATTCCTTATTTCTTTCGGCTGCATTCTGGAGAATTAGAAACCATGCGAATATCCGCCGGTAGATAGTTCATTCCTGCTGATGCTGTTATGCTATTACACATTGACATTTTCATCCAGACGTTGTTGCATAATTAATGGCACATGCACAAACCTTTACGACAATAATCAAGCTCGAGGGCCGAAAGCGGACAGTCCATACTGTAGCTCCAGTGTTATGTACTCCACCCTAAACACGACCTTGGAATAATGTCCGTCCACAAGCCGAATCCACTCAACATTGGATGCATACAAATCACAGTGTTGAGCCTCAAAATACGTGATCGAGTAGCCTCCAAATCTTAAAACGTTCCGTGGTGGTGGGTCTCAGATTGAGTCCATAACACGGAGCGTTCGGTGATTGTGTCCCACATGACTCTCCACTTCGACTGGCAACGATGCCATCGATCTCATGCTACTTTTCATCTGAATCGACGCTTAACAATTTATGCTTCAAACGCCATTTGGATCTGTTTTCATGGAGATCACAATCTCAGATAGCCTGTGATATGATAAAGTTAAAGTCAGCGATCATCTCGATGCTACGGAACAAGTATGATTTCGCTTCGAACTTCTCCACTCCGTTCTGCAAGCGACCGACACGTCTCAAAAACAGGTTGCTGCCGTGAGAACGCATGGAATCCGGCTTACGTTTGAATCCTTGGGCCTTAGATCTCGAAGGTATCGCACATAACAACTCAATGCAAACTCAAAAAAACATTTTGGGATTAAAAAATCTGCTGCTCGGTTAGCCCTGCTGTTCCGGAAAACTAGTATATAATGTGACCACAGTTTGGCAACATGACCCCAGTCGCACTTCTTCCCATCCCACCAAACTCTCAGTGGCTCATCACGATGCAGCGTCCCACCTTGCACAATGTACGCATTCGTTCGACCCGAGATGCTTTGCAAGTCTTCCACGGCGTCGCTTGCAACCGATTGCCGTTGATTACTCGACGCTTGGACGCTGAAGAGCGAAGGGCCATCGTTCCTGGGAATGTATATGTATGGTGAGTCTATTCCAGTAAAAAATCTGCCGTGGCGCTCCTACACATAGGTCCACTAGGGAAGAGCGGGGGGCGAACACAGAGCCTACAGGACTTGGCATGGAGCGTTGGTAAGTGGGCTTCTGAAATAATCCAAGGTGGCCGCATTCATGTGCTCTCCTCTTCCAGGACCGATGGAATGGGATGGGGTCCAAGTCGTACGTAACGCCGTGTTGCCAGCGTCGATCATGTGTTAAATAATTTCTTTCAACTGATCAGGGGTTCGAGACGTACGTCCTTCCTTTCTAACAGCTTCTGAGACCCGCGTTGAACATATTAAATATACCAGGAATTCTTATTTTATCACCAAAAAGAGTCAGATATGAGTGACGACCTCGTCAACCCTGTAACGCCGTGGGCGCAGATGATGCGGTCAGTAGTGTTTCTATTTTTTTTTGCCAGCCGCTCGGCGTTATAATTTGTTTCTCCTTCTTTCTGCAATCTCGGAGATTGGCCGTCTAATAATTTTTATCTTGCAGACCGGCCAGACAATCAGGGAGGCCTTACGCTGCATTAGATCCTCGACCGCTTCCTGAGTCGGAACGACTGATCAAACAAACCTACAGCGTTCACGTTTCTTTACCAGCTGATCGTCCAAGGGGTATTATCCGCAAGTGGCATTTAAGTAGGCGGGGCAATCTATTTTCTAAGACACGCTTTGACCGTCATCCCTAGCCGCATACTTTAGTCAACAAAGGCTCGAAGAGCTCAACACAATTGATAATATCAGGGGCGTTGGTGATGTTGTTGTACCCGACGGTTGGTTCAGAAGCGCTCGCGCTGGAAAGGCGAGGCGGGATAGCCGCGCTCACGCAAACAATCCTCAGCCCGCTGAGAGTCCAACTCAACCTTCCTCACCCACATTTGATACTATCCGCTCCACGCCGTCGAATAACCAGCACAAATATTCGTCAGGTTCACACCACAAATCAACGGCGCCGACCTCACCATCGGCGTATTCCAGCACCGCCTCTTCCTCTTCAGCTCAGAACAAAAGTCCTCAAGGGCACCCGCGCTCTCCAGCTCAATTGGTCCCGCTCGAATATCTCCAATCCATTTCGGGTCCCCCGCGCGATCCTAACGACGAGCTGCTGCTACGGAAGTTCTTCTCGTAGTCTTTGAGCAGCCCCAACACCTCAAAACCGCTGATCGCTATGTGCAAAAAGAGGCGGAAATAACGACTGGCCACCATCATCATATGTACACAAAAGCAACCACGCTCAAGAAGCATAACGTCAGGATCAGGATCCTGACTTTTCTCGTGATCATAAAAGTAGAAATGGCATTTCATCTCAAGTGCTCGTGGATCGATCACCGCTTAATTTCATCTCGTTTAACATGGACTTTGCTAATGCTCCTACTCCTTTTTTCCTATTAACTCATCTGTATCTACTTATAGGCACTCCGCATCATCCTTGTATAAATTGCACGTTAATGTCACATGAGGGGTCAATGTTCCGATCTGTATACAATAGTAAAAGCCGACATATGGAGGATGCCTGAGTTTCCCTTCTCAGAATGTTAGTTAGAAGGGAAGATAGTGCCCTGGTTCGGAGTTACGCTTCTGCTCGAGCTATGTGTAATTTCAATTCAAATGCTTGGATAACTCAACAAATTTGATCAAATCTTCGTTCATTGACAAGCAACTGTGCAATGCCCCGTGGAAGATACGCCTTTAACAATGAAATATAGATATACCGATGTTCTAATATGTAAAGCAGTTTGCTGAGAGTAAAAACGCTCCAGATGCTCACGGTCATATTCAAGTACTTTTAAGTTGCATGCAATCGCAACTCAACCTTACTCGCAGTCCGCGGTGAAATTTCGCATCGCTCCTATCTACCTGATCAATAAACATTGCAGTTCGCCCCGAAAAAATCGCCGCGCCTACCCTCCTTGAGGGCCGAGGCCAAATCGATACCGTGACTTCTCCGCGATGACCAGAAAACCTGGCAAGGAGATTATCGATGTCGCCGATGACCTGGGATACAAAGTAGATCAAGCTCATTTCAGAATGTTCCTTGGGTTCACAAAGCAAATTTAAAAGCCAAAAGGCCGGGAAAATGAGTCACGTTCCCAGCATGCTCCTTATGACAACTTGTTCTTTTAAACCTCATGGTAGGCAAAATATTGAAAAAAACAACGGAGGGCGAAAATGAGATGAAAAGAGAATAAATAAATAGGAAACAAAGGGAAATAGCAGAGAACAGTACGAAACATAATAAATGTGGGACACCAGAAGCGTCCGAAAGGGCGTCATGACATTGACTGTCTTCCAGTACTCCGAAGGCTGCAGGTGAAGAGAGCGAAAAAAGAATTAAACACACGCACAACCGAGGGAGACAAGAAAATCGAGGCAATTGTCCATGAGGAATTTGTTTTCCAGTCGGCTGACAGAAGACGGGAGTTATGTTTACTGCCGGCGACATACCTGGAATGGAAATGTTGAATCGAGGATGGGAACAGGCAAGGTTGTCAATGCGAGGGTCGGGATCACAAGATTCTTGGGATCCTCTTTCCCGTCCCAGGACATCAACAATTGAAATGCAATTATCCAGCACTTAATGGAGGAAACTTAAAGTCTTCGCAGTTACCGGAAAAATGAGAATTTCGGTGAATATTCTCGACTCACCTGCCACATCACGATGCACAATCGCTCATCTCCGGTCGTCGGGTAAGTAGGCACATATTGACGTTTAAAATTTAAACGCTGACTCTTGGCGGAAGTTTTGAAATCCAGGGCATTTTGGAGCATTTTGAATGCTTAAAACTAGAGCTTCCGAAAGCTCGCAAGAGTCGCAATGTTAGTGAAATTTCATGTTTTGCGACTCGCAGATTGAATATGCGTGGCTATGGCGAGTAGTAGACATTTTGGAGACGATCTTTCTTCGGCCAATCTTAAGGGTGAGAGGACGCCTCAAAGTGGAATTTGGCGGTCGCGTGCGCTTACTCGATATTCTAGAAGGTGAACACAATTGATGCCGTACTTTTTACTGTCCATTCAGAAGGACCAAGGGCTGGAGAAATACCGTTTTCGATCCATTTTTCGAATTCTGCCAACCAGCATCATTTTGCGAAGACCGTTAAACTCCGTTAAGCTGATGTCGGTGCAATTGAATTTTCACCCCCGCCACCTATAGGTGACCTAGACCTCAGGTACGCGAAGGTAAAACGTTCGGGGGTTGACCTTGTTTGATTCACAAGTGCGGACCGCTAGTAGGTGCGTAGATCAGGGTGGGAGCACCGTCCCGGTACAGTTGAATTCCCTTTGAGAAGTTGGTTTTAAAACATCCTTGAAGGAGTTCGGCGGTGGTACCTGTTAAGCATGTCAAAGGCTCACGGGATTTTTAAGCAGACGAATCGACGATAAGCGTGCACTGCAGACCACGTCTCATGATCCGATAAGTACAAGACGACCGAAAGGAACGAACTGTGAGACCGGTCATTGGGTAATATCTTGGGCGTTTTACACGATGAAAGTCACTTGATCTTCATAGTTCGCAGCGCTAGAAATCCATAACACTGCGTGTTATCTGCGTCAACTGCCAGCCAATCGCCGCGGAGCCTATGTATGGACCTATGGTGGCAGGGTCGAGAACGAGGGGGACTTCGTCTTCCTCACTCGGATTTCCGGTACGGATAGTAGTGAGGCCAATTTATCATGACACTGGCAGTGACTGGGCGAAAAATATGTATTGGGGAGTTGCTATTCCTAAGGGTCAAATGGAAGGCTGAGTTGTTTGTCGTCGTCGAGGGGACTCGGAGTCAGTGCAAAGTTGAAATTTGGAATGTAAGTAGTTGGGGGTTTAGCTAACAGAGAACAAAAATAATTATTGCAAGTAAGTATTTCGCAACTCGTGTTGGTATCATATGAACAATCTCTAAACAGTTTGTAAATCCATGGAAATATGCCCGACCCGACGAATACGAAGCCCAACGCCTCTCTAGAAACGAAGCCTAGAGGCGCAAATAGGTCGACCAAGGTCGCTGGCAAGCTCAAAGTCCTACCAGAGCAGCCCGAACATCTTCCAGTTATCAGCACGAAGAGTACTGGGGAGGTTTCGCGAATCAAAGATCATCCTGAAAGTCCTGGGACTGCTGGAGACAGTGATGATGGCGATATTGACGAAAATGAAGATTCGCAGTCGCAGGAGGATATCGAGGTGCATATCTTCTTTGAAATCATGCATCACTCTTTGCTCATGCGTGCTTCTGTGCCTATTACAGGTTTACAACCAGATCTCACTGATTCCTGACGGTACAGCTCGACGGGACGCATTGAAGTTGACCAAAAAGAAAGCGAAGTCTTTGCCACGGGTTACGGCTTACGCCACGGCGAGGTAACTGTCTCCACCACGATTCAACCTAGGTTGGGCTGACTGGGATCCTCAGCTCCTACCGGATGCAGGACCTCATGAAGTTTTTCAATGCTAGACGAAACGCATACCACACAAATCCCAAGCTGATCGACGAAGTCATATATACCCCATACATCTATGACCCGCCGTCCAACCCCCACGAAAGCCGACCATCCCGAGCCGGCCCCCATGCACCAGTAGGAGACCTTCTGGGCATACCAGAGCTGGCAGAAGATCAGCCACAGGACAACAGCGAGGAAAGACCTGTAAAGCAGAGAAAGCGGAGCAAATTCGACACAACTGCAACGGAGGCAGAGATTTTCTTATTTGACTACGGTACTGTCGTTATATGGGGGATGACAGAACAACAAGAGAGACGATTCCTTTCTTCAATGTGCGTATAATGGATAATTTAATGCACAAAGTTAAACGTATTTTCAGAAAACGTTTCGAAGTGGATAAACTTGGTATGGCACTTCTCTTCTGAACATCATTTTTGCCGTAACTTACAGGAACTCAGCTCCTGAAGATATCGAAATGGAGGACCTCAATTATTATTATGCGAACTACAGTCGGTTTGTCTGTGTATTCGAAACCTCATCTACCGCTAACTTGGTTCCACTCCTAGGATCTATAATGATGTGATCACCCTTCGAAAAGGGTCTAGTTACATGTACGTTATCGGGAGGCTTTTTCCGCATAACACTCATGTTATATCAGGACGAAACTCTCCCTGTCGCATGCTCTCTCACAATCAGTTAAAATTTCACTAGTAATGAGACCCATCTATCATCATAAATCCACGCTGACTCCATGCTTTCCGATTCGCAGTTTGAAGACCTGATATCGTCAACCATCGAAGAAACGAAAGATATTCCAGAAGTCATCAGCGAAACAGGAAAAATTGGAATGCCTCACAAAGGTGACATGCTCTCTCCACGACCCTGAAACTTTTGAAATGAATCGGGGCCGCAGAAATCATGCAACAGATTGGTCAATTGTTCCTTCTTCGAACAAATATCAACTCCGTTGGGTCGGTTCTCGATTCTCCAGTAAGGCCATCCATGCTTCTGCGCTCCCGCTCTGACATGCCTTTACAGGAGGTCTTTTGGGCACGCTTACCAGGTTTAATCGATGGCTTATTTGGGCTTACGCGTAGTTTGGCAGAGTTACCCCGATCTTCAACCCTTGTATGACGCAGCTCGGAGTTACCTCGAAATTCCGCAGAGAATCAACCTCCTCAATACACGTGTCGAGGTTGGTCCTATCAATCCCCTTCGCCTCGAGTACCCTTCTTCTGAGTCCCTATGTCTAGGTTCTCCAGGATATGCTGCAGCTGCTGAAAGAGTCCGTCTCAAGTAAACATGCCGAACGCCTTGAACAGATCGTCATCGCCTTGATTGCCATCGAAATTGGTGGGTTTGTTTTTAGACGTTCTATCCCTCGGTCTTACGCTAATCCACTGATGCTATCAGTTTTGGGAATAGTGACGATCCTTGTTGATTTGATGGCCTGAACATAGCCGTTTATACCCCCCATCGTATAATTAAATTGTAACTTATTTTGACATAACATCGGACTTACTCTGACTCGAGCGTAGAGAACCCGCAATTTGCTGAACAAGCAGCTGGAACACGTCCCTCCATATGACACTAGTTGTCTGATTTGCTATTATGTCTACATGGGTATGAAAGTTAATAAATAATCCTGGTTACAATACAAAGCCCTTTTGCCAAAACGGTCGTTACTCTACACCTTTCCAGTGTTACTACTGCGGCCCGCATCCTTATCCCGTCTAGAACCTGAGGGCGTGCTGCGGCTGGTGCTCGACTTTGTTTGCCTAAAGCATAGAAACTCGATCCCGGTCGCGCGGCGTGTTTCAGCAAGTGTCTTCTTAACACCGTCCAAATTGGCCTGTAGGTTTTCATCTCCTGGACGCCGCGCGTACGCTTGTGAGATTTTATTGTAAAGATCAGATAGGGTTCGTGCAGCGGCGGGTGTGACATATCGCCCCAATGTTTGATGCATGAATTCAATTTCAAGGGTCGCCTAATTGCAGGGTAAGAAACGACTTAACCGGATGATTGAAACAAAAGTCACCCTCAACATCCCGCCCATTCCAAACCGTTTCACTTGACGGAAACATGAAAGAGCCTCGTTGGCAAGTTCCTCCACAAGGGCATTCAATGCTCTGTCCAACAAGGGTTCGGCCACCCTACATATCTGGGCATGTGTGCTAACCAGATACATCAGGGTCTCATACATGTAGGGGCGGATTTCTGAGGAAGAATCAGTCGAGTTCCATGAGGAAAGGGCGAGTACAGACCTGTCGGGTGGGGCGTTTCGTACCAATTCATCTGGGGATCGAGAATTCCGCCACGGACAATGTCCGTGACGATCTTTGCTCTTGGTTTTACGTAGCCTTCAAAGAGGGTTTTGTCCAACTCTTTCACAACAGTCATCAAGGTCTGATGAGAAAAGAATAAGCATAAGTTTCCTTGTCCGATAATGATACTGTACCTGTCTGTCGTCCATCATGGACACATTCAAAGCAACTTCTAACTGTGCGAGCATGCTGGGAATGATGGCGTTTGCGAGATGGCCAAAGTTAGATATCACCAGTAGCATCCTGATATCCTGGATATGTGTTAGCAAGCTTTCTTGCGATTCCAAGAGTGGAGCTTTCATACCCCATCGGTAACATCTAATAGATCCAGCGTATTGGGTTCGTTGGATTTTATGACTGCCAAAGGGGGTTGCTTCCCGGTGATAACTGGCGATTCGTCGGAAGCCAACAGAACCAGCCCATCGAGGAAAGCGTAGAGGGCGTCCAAGAACGCCTTGGTAATCTTTGACACGAACGCTTGCGGAACCGGGTTTTGTTTCAGAGGTTTAGACAAAGATGTCGCAGAGATATCAACTCCGCCAGCAATCTTGAAAGCCGCAGTGGTGAGGTGTCGCTGGAAGAGTTCAATCTGCGACAGATAATGCGTGGCGAACAAATCAGAGGGGCCGGCAATCCACGCCTCGACGTGGTGAAAGATGCTCGCGTCTATGGGACCACTGGAAACACGGTCTTACAGGTAGAGGAATCGCGGCTTACCTCTTAACCACGAGCCGATGAGAACATCCTCGAATCTCCACTTGGCACTCTCCAAAAGATTTCTAAGACCGGACGCGGCTTCATTGGATATTTCCATTGCGTTCAATTCATTGACGGTCTCGTGAACCTCGGCGAGAATCTTAATCAGGTAATGGGCCGTTGAGATGGAATGAGAATTCTTCGGAAGAAGGGGAAGTGGAGTGTTGTTATTGGATCCGCTGGGGGAAGTCATGACGGCCATATCCGAAAGGTTGAAAAATTGTGAGATCAGAGATATGTAAAGCTTCACGATGTCCAAGGTCATTGTGCGGCATTGTGACGGACTCCTACGCGTGCCGTTAGGAGAGTTGGTGGGCTAAAGGGCTTTGAATGAGCGACAATAACGAGGGGGCAGACTTCACAAACCTTCTTGAATTTTCCGTCCATGAAACTTTTCGAGATCTTCCAAAAACTTGGAATAGAAGACATCATAATCTCCGATACATTCTTGATCAGATCATGGATGGCCAACCAGACTGGTTCTCCAGGCGATTGAGCTGGGTGGACGGTGTCAGAACTCGACTCTCTTCGGCGGCCGTAGTAGAAAGAAAATGCGCACCGACGGCGGCATCGCTTTCCTTGGCCTCCAGCCCAAGTACAGCCGTCTGTAACTGGGCTGCTAATGATGCGGTCAATGCGGCAGAGTCCGAGGCGTCTGGGTTCGTCTTCTGGATGATTGCTGTCTCATGAATGTGAGACTATGTGGGAAATATTTACTCTCTGTGTCATACCTTCGATGGAACGGACGGCAGCCTGGTATGCCTGATTCATTTGATCCATTATCTGTTTATGATGGCTGTCGAAATACAGCCAGACGGGATCATCATTTAGCTGAAGTTCCATTAGAATCCTAAATGGAAAAAAAAGGTCAGCTGCAGAAAGTAAAAAGCCAGCAGCCCAAAAGAAACACGTACTCAAGCGTTTTCTCTTGTTCCTCCACGCTTCGCGCAGGATCTTGAAGCTGAGAAACTAGAACATTTCGCATCTCGCCCATGGCTTTCTCCACGCTGTTCCACACCTTATCAAGGACCCGCTTTTGCTGCTGTTCGGCGGCTAGCGTCGCCGGCCCATCTTTGTTATTGCCAATGGGGAGTAATTGTCCCGGACGCGTCTCCAGCATATATTTTCCTTTCTTGTAATCTCGCAGGGCCATTTCGTATCGTCCCTAATTGCAACATTAGGTGTCAGGGGTTGTCTTTATTTAAATCAAGGTGAGTCGTGTGACACATACCGCTTCGATCGACTCGATGATGAAGCTTGGGAGATTAAAGAAAAACTTTGAGCGTTCAAATACGCCGAGGGTGGTCCGGAGCTTCTGTGCCTTGGAAGCGTTCTCCAACACGGGAAGGAAAACTTGGTTAGCTTTCTGAGTGGCCTCTGAAAATCCTATTCAGCTGTGTCTCATGAATTGGAGAGAGTAATACACACGCTTAAGGTGGTCTCTCAGAGGCTTTGAGGCGTAATCTGTTTCCGTCGATAGAATCCCTTCCTTCATTTCTGTATATAGTGCTGAGGAAAGAGCAAAAATCAACACACGCAACGCATAACAATCCATCCATGGAATTCGTACCATCCGTTGACGCCTTTACAGCCACAAAACGATCAAAATTGTCCTCGACTAGAATCCTCAGTGCTTCAGAACGCGCTTCGATGGAGTTCTGGAGGTGCGCAATGCCTCTCGCAAGATCTTGATACGTCGCATTGGGATGCACTGCCGAGAGAAACACTTTCGGGTCGAACGACTTGGATGTTAGAAGAACGGCGGCCTCTGCGTAGTATATCCATTTAGTCGCTTCCGTGGCATTCAGACGATCAAGGGAACCATACTGGATTCCATGTCCATTTCTCTCACTCTATCAGAAAGAGCCAGTTAAAAGTCAAACCCCCGGAGTATGATTCAATATAACGCACTTGACAGCACTCCCTATACCCAATGGATCTCCTTCTGCATCATTGTTGCTCGAGGGACTAAGCAAGGCACCAGCCACCGAGTCTTCGAGGTCATGATCGACTTCCTCCCACTGCCTGCATTTGCGATGGTCAACAACAACCGTTCATGTCTCAATATGGCGTAGGGGCGTACGTGGGGTTGAGTGTGCCGATTTTGTAAGCTTTGAGCAATGCAGCCTCGTCAATGTCGAAGTTTAACCTCGGCATTCCTGTTGTACCACACACCCAATGTTAGTACCACTACAGCCACGATACGAAAGACTCGGAGAACCTGAAACGCGCCCCCACAAGTCTTATTGGAGCCAATGCGCTGAGAGTGTTGTTCGCGACGTCTAGGATGAAAGTTAGAGCTCAGAGGCCGGCCAAGTAACGATGGAGTTCAATCTCGAGTCTATATTTGGTTCTGTGCGTTCTCGAGTGAAGTCATCGAAATAAGTATATAAATCCACAATTACTCCGCCCGTACAAGTACTTCATAACAAATAAACCCCAGAGAACGTATATATTAAGCTCGAAGAGTATAGATGGGGTGTGTGTTCAGTCCATAAATCCGTGAGTCAAGTCGAACACAAGGCATATGTTTTACACCTTGAGGACAGTATTGAAAGCAATGTCCCAGATTTTGCCTTACGAAAAGAAAGTCAGTCTTCTGCTCTTTCAGTGAGGAGGGGAGACCGGCGGCTTACTGGTAACACCAAACCCGAGCTCAAAGTTTTTGTAGTGATGCGCAAGATGGTATTTTTTCATGTCTTTCATGTACTGCGGAAGCCTCGTATGGTGTAGCCTAAGTTTGGGAGAAGAAGATCAGAGATGAACCTTACTAGTAAGGAGCTATAACCTACGCATAGTGCATGCAGTCGTACAGGATATCTGAGCAATGGCCTGATGAGCACAGCGCGACTAAAAACGATGGACGAACTCACAAAAGGTGAAAGCACCGGCGATAATGCCGTTTGAGACTGATGCGGGGAAGATAACATATGCGAGCTGGGTGAAGGGAAACTGTAGAATAGTAAAAAGGGTCGGAGGCATTACCAGCCGCAGACTATGTAGTAGGAAACAAGTCAGCCCAAGGCTCGCCAACGCAAACCAGAACATAACAACGCACCGGTCCATAGGCAAATAATGGTGGATCCCATGCATCAAGAAATGCAGCGTCAGAAACGCGGGTTTATCAGGAAGATATTCATCAATATGAAATAAGAACCGATGCATCCCATACTCCAGCATAGTCCAGATAACATTCCCAGCCAAAAAGCACAGCCCAGTTTTCACAAACGAGTCCGTCGGGATTGTGCCAAGCTGAGATAGCGGCAGCGTAGGATTCGAGAAGAAACCAGGTAGAGGTCCGGTAAATTGGAAAACGGACCGCAGAAACAGGTATATTGCGATCGGGGCCCAGAATATGGGCACCACGTACCACACTGTGCGCGTCGCCATCTATTTATTGCTTTTGGTCAGTGACGAAAATAAAGGGAGAAGGTGATCCGACACGTCGTCCTCACCTCTAGTATATCCGGACCAAACAAACGCGCTGGCTCAGGAAGGTGACGGGGTTGATGGACCTGCTGCAGATAGTATGATTTACTAATAAGTGGTTCAAAATTTAGAAGGCAGGAAAACACGTCACAGCGACACACCTAAAGTTCGCATTCCACATCTGCATGAAGAGGGGTTTGCGGAGGTCAAGGAACTGGTTTTTCTCATAATCCCTCGCAGAATCCGTGTCATCTGGATGAAAATCATCCGTAGCTTCCCAATCTAATTGTAGGGGTGAAGTCAGCTTCCAAAGGCTGTTCGAATAACCGGTGGGTATGACGGACGGACCTTCTCGAACTATAGACTCCTCCGCTCCTATTCTTCCAATAAGATATTCCTCCAACATCTCATAAGCAGACTCAGAGTGCACATGCTCGTCCTCATCTCGCATAGCATCACCAACGTCCTTCCCAGCGTGGTTGAGAATCAAGTCGTCACCGCCTGGGTGGTCGTTGAGGAACCCAGAGACGTCGTAGACTTTGCCAGCGCGAGATATCCAGCAGCTGGACGCATTGGAATGCGACGCCACGTCTTCCACCGTGTACATGCGAATTCGTTTTGACATGGCGTAGGACGGAGATGGTTATAGGAAGTCTCGCCACTTTTATTAGCTTAGAAACTTTCATATCAAGGTCACGTGATCACCGTGTCATTGATCTGGAATTTCAAATAACTGCGCGTCGCCAGTACCTTCGAGCCTGTTCGAGCCTTAGTCTGGAAAGTTTACGCGTCATCACAAAAATAATGAATTCAAATAATCTATTTCAAGCGTGGTCGTGCTTGGTTGGGCGGAATGTACAACGTTCAGAGGGCAACCAATCCAATATCTCAGTCGATTTCAATTCGTAAACGACAGAGGTTTGGATTTTGATCTATTTATTCCATACGTATGGCGTCTTGTCGTCACGGCGTGTACGCCATTCACGACTACTTGGGTGCACCAGTCGCCTTTTGAAGGTTTGCGAGAACCTTGTCCACCTCACCAATATATCTATCAGTGAGTTTCTGGAACTGTTCATGGCGTACCAAATCAGAAGGTGGCCTGGCGTAGAAACAGTTGAAACACACACCTCTTCCAATTCGACGGAGTGTTTCTCGAACTTGCCACGCTTCACGCTGAGGGAGTGTTGCTTTCGTATTTGCACACGCATTTCCTCCGCCTTCCGCTTAGCAGCCGCGTATAGAGCGTGGCGGGCATCCACCGTCGGCCTGCAGATGAAAACACATCATCAATTCGCCGTGAGGATAACACAAAATATGGATAACATACTTGGGGATTGGAATTTTGATAGTTCGGTCGTCATACCTATGCGGCACAACCCCCGGTATCTTGCAAGTATGCAATGCCGACTCGACATGTTTGATAGTCTACTAAAACAGAGGCGAGATATCAATCCGAGGCCGGAGGAAGTCCAAGAAGCCGGGGAAAAGGACAGAGGCTCACATGTTCATCAAACAAGGTAATCAACAACGTCGTTCCATCCCTTACGCCAACAGTAGCCAACTCTTCCAACTTGAACTCCTTCTCGGCTGAAGGAAGCTTGACGCGAACGGGGGAAAGCAACGCTGGAGTAACACGTCCACTTGCCCGCACCTCTGAGCTAGCGCATTCCTTACGGAACCATTCTGCAGCAGTTTTCATAGCGGTCTCTGCCTTGTCATATTCCTGACGTGCAGCTTCATCGGTGATGGGTTGCTTTGAGCCTGGTACGAAAGTGGCAGTGGATTTGGCTTTGCCCTTCGTAGCATAGCTTCGTGAACCGAAGACCAATCTTGGGGTGAAGTGCGTCGGTTGGCTACATTGCGTTAATGAGCGTGAAAAGATCCGTCCATTCCGTTGAATTTGCAGGACCAGGCGAGTCAAAGACATGGAAAGGCGAAGTCTTCTGGATGGCGGTAAATTTCTGTCCTACGTTACGTATCACGTGCCTAATCGTCAATTGAGTACGCGACATTGCAAACGGCTCATTTTCTAGTTTTCGTCGACATTGGACCTCACTGAACTCCTTTTTACGATCCAAAACGTCCTTTACAAGCCAGGATGTCCATGCAAATATTTGGAGAGCAGGTGCGAGAGCATCTACATCTAAATCTTACGATGCTGAAGCGCAGAATTCGCAGGCAACAGAGGAGAAAGCAGAAAATGCGCGTCTCTCATCGTTCGTCGGTGCCCTGGCGCTCGGAGACCTCGTAAAATCAACACTAGGGCCAAAAGGCATGAACAAGATTCTCCAATCCGCGTCAACCGGCGAAATTAACGTCACAAACGATGGAGCGACGATCCTGAAAGCGATCCAGCTTGATAATGCCGCAGCGAAGATTCTCGTCAACATTTCGAAGGTTCAGGACGACGAGGTTGGGGATGGGACGACTACCGTTACTGTTTTGGCTGCAGAGTTGCTGAGGGAGGCAGAGAAGCTCATCGCGAAGAAAATCCACCCACAGACGATTGTTGAGGGTTATCGGATCGCTAGTTTGGCTGCCTTGAAGGCTTTGGAAAAGGCCGCGGTTAACAACTTGTGAGTGGTTTTCTCAATCATTGTCATCTTTCGCTTAAGGTACTTCAGCTCAAATCCTCATAAATTCCGGGAAGACCTATTCAACATTGCCCGAACGACACTCTCTTCAAAAGTCCTCTCACAAGACAAAGACTACTTTGCAAACCTGGCAGTTGATGCTGTTTTGAGGCTGAAGGTACGTTTCTGTTCAACCTCCCCGTTTCGAGCAGAGCCTGACTGAAGTTTTGGCAAAGGGATCAATAGATCTGGAACACATCCAAATCATCAAAAAAGTTGGCGGAAAGCTGACCGACTCTTATCTCGACGAAGGCTTCATCCTGGACAAAACTATCGCCGTGAATTCACCGAAGCGGATGGAGAATGTCAAGATCCTCATTGCAAACACCTGTACGTACGTTGACCAGAACAATTGATCATCGGCTAAACCTTGACTCTAGCAATGGACACCGACAAAATCAAGATCTTTGGTGCTCGCGTGAAGGTGGACAGCACAGGGAAGTTGGCAGAGTTGGAACGGGCTGAAAGAGTACGTTCGACATCTTGAATTTTCTTTCTCTTTGTATACCATCCAGCTGACTGACTCCTTGCAGGAAAAAATGAAGGCCAAGGTCGACGCCATCGCAGCGCACGGAATCAACTGCTTCGTGAACAGGCAGCTCATCTACAACTATCCCGAGTCCCTCCTCACCGAGAAAGGCATCATGGTCATCGAACATGCCGACTTTGAGGGCGTGGAGAGGCTGTCGCTCGTCACTGGGGGTGAAATCGCAAGCACCTTTGACCGACCGGATCTAGTCAAGCTTGGGCAGTGCGAGTTGATTGAGGAGATCATGATCGGGGAGGACAAGGTGCGTTTTTACTCCCCCCACCCTTTCCTGGCAATGTGCCTTCATCTTTACATCTTTTTACAGCTCATCAAATTCTCCGGAGTGGCCGCTGGCGAAGCCTGCACCGTCGTCCTCCGCGGATCCACAAACCAAATGGTAGACGAGGCTGAGAGATCCCTCCACGACGCTCTTTCCGTTCTATCCCAAACAGTCAAGGAGACCCGAACCGTTCTCGGTGGTGGATGTGCCGAGATGCTCATGAGCTGTGCAGTCGAGGATGAAGCTAGATCAGTAAAGGGCAAGAAGGCTCTCGCCGTAGAAGCGTTCAGTCAAGCTCTGAAACAGATTCCCATCATCCTGGCCGATAACGCTGGATATGACTCTTCGGATTTGGTTTCGAGGCTGAGGGCAGCGCATTATGAAGGGCATTCTGATGCGGGCTTGGGTAAACAACTTCCATCTTTCCCTTTCGTCTCCTTACCCCTATCTAATCCCTGTTTTTTTTTAGATATGGAGCAAGGGGCGATTGGATCTATGAGGGAATTGGGGATCACTGAGAGCTATAAGCTCAAGCGCCAGGTGGTTCTCAGCGCGAGTGAAGCTGCTGAAATGATCATTCGGTTTGTCCTTTCTTTGTGTCATATATTTCAGATGAAGCCTTACGTCTTTGTGATACAGCGTGGATGATATCTTGCGAGCCGCGCCGCGGAGACGTGAAGCGGTGTAGATTTGAGCAGCGATGTAAATGACATACTAAACGAAGAATTTTGATAGCATAAAACATGTTCCTCAGATTCAGTCCCACCCCACGTCCTGCGTGCTTGTGTCTATCTCGAGTTGTAGCGGCAGAACTGGTGACTCATCTTGGGACGAATGATAGGCTAAAGATCGTTCAAGTTTGGAATGCTACTCGTTTCTGGCGCAGACGGGCTAATGAACGCGGTAAGCTTCTCGAATCTCGCGCGAAAGGAGAAAAAAAGAAAATCTACGGCATTCGACGGGAAGGGAAACCATATACTGACCAGCTCTTCATGTTAAATAAGTACAAGAATCACGCAAATGTCAACTCACCAGTGTCGAACTGAAGGCTTAGGGGTTAATACTTAAATTCGTTGTAAGGCAGGATGCAGAAATTTCACCTTTTCATTGTAGCTTCAACGTCATACCATGCAGCCTGGAAAATTTAACACTTGTAGTTTTGCATACTGCCAAAATTTTTGAGAATTCGTGGAGTTGTAGCCTCGGAGCGTTGCCGACGTGAGGAGGCTTGAGGGGAACAACTAAGGTAGACGACAACCATATCCTTCCAACGTCACGTGCACAGCGTGACATTTCCATTTTAAGCCTCAATTACACAGATAATGTCCTAGAAAATTTTGAACACGAATCGCAGCTAATCGGAAACCATAGAACTGAGACAAATGCAGATTTCATGGAGCACAAAAAAAATTAAAGCGGTAAAACGAAATTTGAGGGAAAAGAAACAAAAATACTTCCCGACGCGTCAATTTGAAGGCACACGCGCAAATCCTCTTCATTAGGCCAGAACCATGCCTAAGCGAAGCAATTACCTCCAGTCCAGAGCATAGAACTTACATAGAGGTGATAAAACAACAAAAAGCCAAAACTGCAAAGGAGAATGAGGGGATTCTATTTCTGGGTGTTCAATTACTCAAGGACGCGTCTTAACTAACAAATATTAGAGAACAACAACCCCCGCAAGATATGAAACCTTAGGAATTCATTATAGTCAATTTTGGATTGAAACTTCGATGTGACGAAGGCTTTTGACGGTCAATTTGAGCTTCAGGAACCTACCATAGTATTTTTGTATCTCCTCCCCCAATTTTCATTCTCCTACTTTATAAATTTGTATATATCTTTAGAGCACTAATTCTAATAGTTCTATGGTCGTCGATTTTCCCTAACTTTATGCACAGAATTGTTATGGCCTTTTCTTCGACTTTTCTCATTTCTGTTTGCCAAAAAAGGAGCGTTATGTCACGTCACAGAGGGTTGGTTGTGTATGGTTGTCGTCTACCTTACAAGATATGCAAAGCATGTCACAATCATGTCACTGAGGCATTTTGGTCAATGGCATCCACCTTGATGTACATTGACAGATCGCCTCAAGCAAGCCTCGAGGTGACCTTGCCTTCAAGGCACCTTTCCTTGCGGCAAGACTACCAGACACCACACAATAGTCCTCATTGATAAGTGACTCTCATCTTACGCGGACATCCACCCTTTGTCGAAATTCCAACTGCCCTCTTTCTCGAGTCTTCCACAAGATACAGGCCCACGCACCGACAATGGAGCCAGCTGGTTTGATAGCGTATGTTTAGTGGAGCCTTCCTAGTTGCGTGTTGAGCTGACATACCACTACCACAGAATTATGGGAGGGACTGGGGTCGGGAAATCGACGGTATGGGCTAGTCCACAACTGCCGCCGCCGCCACTCTTGACGTTCTGAAAGTTCATCAACACCATCATCGGCAGGGACGTTGCATATGTTGGACATAGCTTGGAGTCGGGAACCACGGAGGTTCAAGAATACGAATTCTCGATGCCCAATGGCATTCGTGTGACCCTCGTCGACACTCCAGGTTTCGATGACTATCAGGAATATGGTAGTAGATCCGACCTAGTGATTTTGAAAGAAATTGGCGCCTATCTCAAAGCGAGGTAGGGGAACTGTCCCTCCGTATATTGATAATCTAACCTTCATTGACGTACAGATATGACGAGCAACGCAAGTTGTCTGGCATTATATATTTGCATAACATCTGTGATCCGAAAGTTGACGGTTCTTCGCAGCGAACTATGATGATGTTCAAGAAATTATGCGGAGCCGACTCTCTGAATAATGTCGTTGTCGTCACCACATTTTGGGACGAAGTAGATTTGACGGAAGGTGCCGAATTCGAAACAGTCCTGAAGACCAAGGATAGATTTTTTAAAGGACTCGTTGACGGTGGTTGCAGATTCGCTCGCTCTGGAAGATATCCTGCGGGAGAGACCCCCAAAGGTCCAGAGTTCCCCCCTCCAATCTCTATCGTCTCCGACCTCCTCGCGCTTAATCCCGTCTTTGTCGAGATGCAGAAGGAGCTCGCCGAGGGTAAGACTGTGGAGAAGACTTCTGCTGGCGCGGAGCTGTACAAGGAAATTCAAGAATTTAAGCGTCAACATAAGAAGGTCGTTATCGATTTGAGCCTAAGAATTACAGAGATGAAATCCACCAACGCCAGAGACAAAGCAGCGAGGGAGGCGTTGGAAGACGAAAGCAAAGTGTCGATAGCGCAGCTTGAGAAAGTCAGGACTACAATGCAGTTAAAACGAGAACAGGAGGCATTGGCGAAGGTGGGCCCGTAACGATCTATCCCTTCTGAAGTGATTGCTCAGAGTGATTCAACAGCAAAAGGAACTCGAACTGGCTAACCTCCGTCGTATTGAGCTGCAACATGAATTTGAGCTTCTGAAAACTCTACATACCAAGGAAACCCTTGAATGTCGATTCCAGATCCGATGCCTGTTCGACGCCAGCTTTGATGATGCACAGCAAAGATCACGGCTTGAGAAAACTTGCGAAGGTCTCAGAGCTACCGTGTCTGAGTTATCTCAATCCCTACGGGAGACGAAAGAGGAGCTCCAAGCGAAAGTGAATACACACGACAAGACGCTTTCTGATCTTACGGAGGCAAAATCGAAGATAGCCCACTTGGAGTCGCAACTAAAGATATCGCAGGAAGCGCAGGAGAAAATGGCATTTGAGATCAGCGGATCTCAGTCGGCTCGCGCACAATCGCCTCAGTCTTCATCCTTGCGTGGTACAATTTTGAGCCTCTTTTCATCACGATAACCGTCGTTCCCCCCTTCCCCCTCACCATGCACATTATTTTGTTTGAGAACTGCGGTCGTTGAGGGTGTATAGCTGGTGGCGACTAGGACGGACTCATTAACTACATGAACCTGGTCAATTGTAAAGTAGTCACCACATGCATGGAACGGAGTCGACCGCTCTATATTGGAGACGGCACTGAGAGAGTCGAGGTGACGTGAAAAGAACGATTCCTGGGATCCGCGTAGAAATGCCATTTCAACCGCTGAAGGTCTGATGTAAATTGAGAGCTCGAGAAAGCGCAACATGTGAGCATACCGCGCTGGAGGTTCCGACCTTCTTTACAATCTATGTTGTGTTCCTGAGGGTCGGTAAGTAGTATGTGCTAGGGCAGGATGTACTGGAGGCAAACCGTTCGAGAACGTAGCTCGGACGTGATATCCACAAATGTTGGTACAGCCAGGACATTGTGAGCGGCATTAGCAAGCCATGTTTCTACTCATTTGTCCCAGGCACCCAGAGGAGGAATCCGAGAAATCGACTCCTCCCGCCATCAGTATAAAAGATGGTTGTGCACCTACCCTCTTCATTTACATCGTCAACCTCACTGTTAACGTTAGCTGATGGCAAGATGCAATAAATTGTTTTTCAGCTACATAACGACAGCGCACAGAGCGAGACTGCAAGAAGCAATTGGCGTTCGCAGCATGGCCTAGAGGTGTGCCCAAGTCACTACGTCGAGCATAGACCTTCCATTGACGGTGCAAGCTTCGACGGTCTCGGTAAGAAGGGGGTGAAGCATGTGAGTGGTGTCGTGGATAGGGCCTTGACGCTTAGAAACAAAGCCAAATCTGGCGGACCAAAGCGGAAAAGCTGGAACGGTGGCAGGTGGGCAAAGGGTGGATCAAAGCCGAGCGGATTGAGAATTGAGCACCAAATGGTCCCTCTGAAAGGGGCGGAGACAACAGCGGCAGCTGAGGAGATTGCTATCGCTCTTGGAAGGGGTATAAGTCGCGAATGGCTGTGAAACCTATGCACAAGTTCCCTGATCAAGATCTCAAATATTGTGGACGTCCCATACAACCAACCTGAATTGACACGAAATGGAAACGGGACGTGCTTTGCGCACCATCCAGCAAGACTTCCTATCCCGTTATTGGGGCGTTGCAAACTCAAGTCGGGAATGGTGGCAGCATCGAGGAGCCCTGGCAGGGCACGGAGGACGATGGGAAGAGTGCAGTGTGCATGTCGAGTTTATTGCGAGGAAATGAGGCAGGGATTGGGCAATAATGAATAATGTCATAAATGTTAACCAGGGTGACGACTTTGGAAATGATCCGCTGGGGGTGGATCGTGCGGCAGTACCAGAGGATGGCACGGGTATTGAGAATGTCCTAAATGGGGGAGTGTTGCCGTTGGCGAAGGGCCCAAAATTTTGAGTCTTCGTCAGTATCCGTCCGGGGAAATGATGTCTCTGTACTGGCCCTTTACGTCTATTGGAGTCCTCCGCGTGAGGTGGACACATCCGCCTTCCAACGGCTGCAGAGAGGTCGAGGTCTGACATGCCAGCGAAAACCCTAGTTGTCGTCTGGGCAACGACAAGCTGGGACTCCTAATGGGACACTCGAACCGGGATAGAGCTTTGTTAGGCTGTGAGGTGAGGTGGGTACGGGAAGACGATGGTGGGCCGTGGCGGGGAGATGCGCGGTGCACAATTCTGCCGGAAAGACATATTACCGTCGTAGAGACAACAAAGACTAGATAGAACTCACAGATATCTATCTACGCAGAACCTCGATGTCGTATGTTGGGTGTTGTTGATTCAACGTTTCAATGCGCAAACAACAAGCGGGCGCTTAGCAAACTTACTTCCAACCTTCATCTTGCGAAATTGAAACGATGAATACAACTTCCAACATAAACAGCGATACTCAGTTAGTATTCACGTTTTCGTTCTATATACACCTTGCTCAAGCCTCCCTAGCATTGCGTCTTCTGATGCCACAATCGCGATTGAGATCAAAGGCAAGATCTGGCAACAAGTTCGATGTGTCGACTTTCACTCAATTGGGATCGGACTTTCTAGATATAAACGTTCAGAAAATAGCTCAGATCCCAGGACATTGGCACAAGCACTATGTTCAATTTGAGATCGATGGAGTTGTCCAGACCACAGGAAAGAGCCAGAAAGTGACGGACCCCATTTGGCTGGAGACCTTTTCTTTGTGCGTATCGCACTTTCTACATCAGGTCCGAGAACTTACGGTCATCAAGCAATGCCACGCTGTCGTCTGTTCTCACCTGCCGGCTTTACCAGTCATCCAGTCGTATTGGCCGTGTCTTCCATCATGGCGATCAAGTCATAGGGGTAATGAAGGAAAGCTTTCATTTGTTACTTGGGGAAGCTTCCGAAAAAGGTCTGTCTCCTGTTCATAGAAGTGTGCCCTTCTTATAATTCATAAATTTATAATTAGGAATAGTTTGTTGCTTCCATAGGCCTGACGATACCTCAAAGTTCATGGCTACCACCATTAATTTTTTTGTATCTATCTTGCCAAAGATTGGTACTCCTGTTGTGAGAAGGCTACTATATTCTCATGTATACTGTCTAATACCCATCAAGGTTTCTGCACCTCAAGTTGATTTTAATGCTCAAGCCATGTCAGATTTTGCTTCTGCTTTAGATTCAGCTGAAGATACTGTTAAAAGAATGAAAGCTGGCCCACAGGGTGCTGCATCTATTCTTGACACTGCTATCAGTACAGTCTCTTCTGATTCTTTCTCTGCTACATACAACACTATGGTTGAGAATGTCAAATTTTTTGCTAATGCTGTAGATAAGCTAGCTGAGGTAAGCAAATGACCTGTCTATAATCTCTGAAATTTACTTTCATAGGTCCATCCATATGCCAAGGCAGCTTGGGTTATTCTGTCTGCTATCCCCAAGGTATATTGGTTGACATTGGATGATCTATTTCTAGAGCTTATGCACATGCTAGACTGCTCTGGGGCAGATTGAACGTGATGCCAAAATCACCAATCTTCTACAGGAAATTCAAGACTTGTACAAATATATCAATCAAGCAAAACCCTCTGAGTATGGTGATCAACAGAAGAAGGTTGTCACCCTTCTAGCCAAGCAGACCACAGAATGTGCCTACCTTATTCGTGATTATGCTAGCATCACAAACTTTTGTATGCATTTTAATTGTAGAATCTTCAAATTACTAATTGATATGCTTTTTGCCTCCTAGGGAAACAGACTGGAAAGAATTTAGTCTCAAATTCAGACCAAGAAATTCAGAACTATCAAGATCAATTCAAGAAACTCAAGTTAGCTTTTACTGATCATGCCATTCAGGATACTCAGCTTACAGTTTTGCGGATGGTTTACACTCTGGAGAAACTTGGTTATTTTATTTTATTTTTATTTCAGAATTTTGGCAACTAAAATCATTCAATTTCAGGTGCAGCTGCAGATCTCAGAGACATGTGCTATGCTAAGGGTGCTCGCTTTGATCCTGATAAGAAATGTCTCCCTGGAACACGTGGATCTATTCTTGATGAACTGATTAGCTGGATTGATAGTCCTGATGGTGATGAGACTCCACGGGTTCTATTTTTGACTGCTATGGCAGGCTTTGGAAAATCAGCTATTGCTCATACTATTGCTTACCATTTTGATGGATTGCGTCGCCTAGGTTCATCATATTGCTTTGACCAAGCTGAACAAGAGAATCGAAGGATTGAATATCTCTTCAGCACCATCTCTAAGGATATTTCTGGGCTTGATAAGCACTGGCAGTCTGCTCTCTGCTCTGTGGTTTCTGAGAATCCAGCTCTTTGCACTACTCAGTCACTACAGGCACAATTTGAGAACTTTATTGTCAAGCCTGGTTTAGCCTTAACTAATGTTGGGCCTATTGTTCTTGTGATTGATGCTCTGGATGAAAGTGGCAGTCTGAAAAAAAGAAAACCTCTTCTGGATATACTTGTCAAGGGAGCTACAAAGTTGCCAAAAAACTTTCGTGTTCTGGTAACCACACGGCCTGAGCCTGATGTATCAAAAATTCTTGAGATGCCTCATCGATATGTCAAACACAAGGAGATACATACTCCTGGGCTGGAAAGTGAGAGCAATGAGCATGATCTTTCTCTTTATATCAAGAGTAGACTCGCTGAGTTTTCTGAACTTGAAACTGAGTGGCCAAATGACCAATGGTGCAGGCTGCTTGTAAAGAGTGCAGAAGGCCTGTTTCAATGGGCAGCTGTTGCTTGTGATGACATCACCTCATATGAAGGGATGACTCTTGTTGGGCATTTAAAATCTGTTCTTCAAGAAGGAAAAGGCTTGGATAATCTGTACCGTCAAGTTCTGAAACAAGCTTTTCCCAAAATCACACCTACAGTAATGGGCCGTTACCAGTCAGTGATAGGCAAAATTCTGACAGCCAAAGAGCCATTATCACTGTCAACATTGTCACAAATGCATGCTGTAAAGTTAACAAGAGAAGAGGCCCAGGCAATTATCCAACCATTGGGTTGTTTGCTGTCTAGCATCAAAATGAATGATGATCCTATAAAGCCATTGCACAGCTCCTTTCAGAATTTTCTGACTTGCTCCTCAAAAAGTGAAGACTTTTACATTGATACATATGAAGCTGAAAAAAAATTTGCTCTTGCATGTCTGCACATTCTCAACACTGAGCTTCATTTTAACATCTGCAAAATCCCCTCATCCTACAAAACAAATGACAATCACTTGATCAATCTATCTGATAAGATCTCATCACAGCTGTTTTATTCCTGTGTTTTCTTTGCAGAGCATCTTAAAATGGTTGCATGGGAGAATGTTTTTGAAGAAGGGTTGAACACCTTCATGGATAAACAATTTTTATCTTGGCTGGAGGTTTTGAGTGTAACAAAAAGACTATGGACTGCACATAATACACTGTCAGGAATATCAAAATGGCTCAAGGTAAGATAGGCCACTTTATAAGGAACTATTCTGAATGACATTTGTTCAGAAAAATGGAAAATGCATAGATCTCATTGAAGATGCCATGAAGTTTGTCAACAGCTTTGCTCAACCAATAGCTGAGAGTGCTCCTCATATCTATTTATCAGCATTACCATTTGCACCAACTGAGTCTCTTATTGCTAAAAAATATCTACCCTACTATAAGGGTCTGGTGTCTTTTGCAAAGGAGAGAACAAAATCATGGCCATCAATCATTAATGTCATGCATGGGCATACTAATCGGATCAAGTCTGTTGCATTCTCTCCTGATGGAAAGCACATTGTTTCTGGATCAGATGATATGACCATTCGAGTGTGGGATGCACACACAGGAAACCTTGTTTCACATCCTTTTAAAGGTCACACCCACATCAACTCTGTTATCTTTTCTCCTGATGGACAACACATTATTTCTGGATCACATGATAAGACAATCAGAGTGTGGGATGTACATACAGGAAATCTTGTTTTAGGTCCATTTGAAGGCCACATTCATTCAGTCAGGTCTGTTGCATTCTCTCCTGATGGAAAGCACATTGTTTCTGGATCAGATGATATGACCATTAGAGTGTGGGATGCACATACAGGAAATCCTGTTTCAGGTCCTTTTGAAGGTCACACCATGTCAGTCAACTCTGTTGCATTCTCTCCTGATGGAAAACATATTGTTTCTGGATCAGATGATATGACCATTAGAGTGTGGGATGCACACACAGGAAATCTTGTTTCAGATCCATTTAAGGGTCACACTTTGGTCAATTCTGTTGCATTCTCTCCTGATGGAAAACACATTGTTTCTGGATCAGATGATATGACCATTAGAGTGTGGGATGCACACACAGGAAACCTTGTTTCAGGTCCATTTGAAGGCCACACCCTTCAGTCAAGTCTGTTGCATTCTCTCCTGATGGAAAACACATTGTTTCTGGATCACATGATATGACAATTAGGGTGTGGGATGCATATACAGGAAATCTTGTTTCAGGTCCATTTGAAGGCCACACTGATTGGGTCAACTCTGTTGCATTCTCTCCTATGGAAAACATATTGTTTCTGGATCAGATGATATGACCATTAGGGTGTGGGATGCATACACAGGAAATCTTGTTTCAGGCCCATTTGAAGGTCACACCCAATCAGTCAACTCTGTTGCATTCTCTCCTGATGGAAAACATATTATTTCTGGATCAGATGATATGACCATTAGAGTGTGGGATGCATATACAGGAAATATTGTTTCAGGTCCATTTGAAGGCCACACTGATTGGGTTGTGTCTGTTGCATTCTCTCCTGATGGAAAACATATTGTTTCTGGATCAGATGATATGACCATTAGAGTGTGGGATGCACACACAGGAAATTGTGTTTCAGGCCCATTTGAAGGTCACACTCAATCAGTCAATTCTGTTGCATTCTCCCCTGATGGAAAACATATTGTTTCTGGATCAGATGATATGACAATTAGAGTGTGGGATGCATATACAGGAAATCTTGTTTCAGGCCCATTTGGAGGCCACACTCATTGGGTTGAGTCTGTTGCATTCTCTCCTGATGGAAAACATATTGTTTCTGGATCAGATGATATGACCATTAGAGTGTGGGATGCATACACAGGGAACCTTGTTTCAGGCCCATTTAGAGGCCACACCCAATGGGTCAATTCTGTTGCATTCTCTCCTGATGGAAAACATATTGTTTCTGGATCACATGATATGACCATTAGAGTGTGGGATGCACATACAGGGAACCTTGTTTCAGGCCCATTTGAAGGCCACACTCATGGGTCATGTCTGTTGCATTCTCTCCTGATGGAAAACATATTATTTCTGGATCACATGATATGACCATTAGATTGTGGGATGCACATACAGGAAATCTTGTTTCAGGTCCATTTGAAGGCCACACTGATAGAGTTACATCTGTGGCATTCTCTTCTGATGGAAAACACTTTGTTTCTGGATCAGATGATATGACCATTAGAGTGTGGGATGCACATGCAGGCAATTCTATTTCAGGTGTTTTTCAAGGCTATACATCACAGGTCAGTTCTAATCTTTGCTTGGCTCATGGGAGCCATAATAAGGACTTGCAATTATGGCAGTCTGATCTTGATCAAAATGGTCAGTTCAAGCATTCTTGTAAATTTGTAATTTATTGCTTATCTATATCTTAGTTACATTTATGATTAATACAGCTACCCAAACATCCACAGGCTGGGTTTGTTTGCCAGCACAAGATTTGTTATTTTGGGTACCTCCTTGGTATCGAAAGAATCTTCAATGGCAACCTAAAAACTGCCTAGTTATTGCAAAATATACAACAAAGCTTTTTTTTGCAAATTTTCTCTCTGGAACAAAGTGGAGTCAAATACAGCAAGATGATATTTGTTAGGGTACTCAGGTTATTAGTCTTAATATCCTTTCATTCTCATCACCAAACTAACTTCACCAATATTTCACTTCAGTTGTGTATTACCTGACTAGTTTTTTCCTAGTTGTATTCTGTCTCACTATTACCTAAAATAGTTGTATTGTTAAGAACTGGTGTTTCTATAAAAGAAAGTCTGGTACATCTACTGTTTTAATGAAATTTTACATTTTCAACTATATCTTTGTCAATTTTGAACCAATTAATATGTGCTTGAGTGCATTTTGAAGGGTATTTAGTGGGCTACAAAAAACCAGTCCTAACTGGTTAAGACCAGTTTATTTATACCAGTCTTTTTGTGGTCTTTACTTCTCAAAAATGAAAAAACCAGACCACAGGTCTAGTTTTTTGCGGTCATGGTCCAGTCTGGTTATGGTCTTTTTCCAGTCACAAGACTGGACTTCCAAACACTACAGTAAGTAGCACAGTTTAGAGTTGATCACTAACTCTTCTCTAGTAAAGGGGGCTTGTTAGGTTGTTAGATCACATCCTAAACTTCCTGAAACCACACCTTTGACACTCAGCTTTTTGTAGATTTTCTGGAGACTTGCAGGGATTGTAGCATCAGATTTCCATTGCGATGTCAATTAATGCTTGGAAGTCCAGTCCCAAGACTGAAAAAAGACTGAGACTGAACTGGACCCAGACTGCAACCACAGTCCAGTCTTTGGTCTCTCATGATTTCAGAAATTACAAGACCACAAAAGACCGGTCTGACTGGTCTCAACTGGAACTCATAACCAAATACAAATACAACCAGAACTTCTCCTTCTACCACCACCCCCATCACCATCACCAGCCTTTGTGACCACCGCCTTGCATTGTGAGCACCCACCATGGGCTATAGGACACTTAGGCCCACACTTCAACTGCCACCCATGGCCACAGCATCACCCATAGCTGTGAGGCTATGCCTTATATATTGGACTAATCTACCCATACCTATTGCATAGAGGAAGAGAATATCTAGTGTTTGGAAGTCTGGTCTTGTCACTTCAGTCACCCATTTTAGGGTACCTATGAGGTACATCAATTCCTTGATTTAGGGTACCTTGAGGGTACCCATCCCGGGGTGGTATATGAGCTCGATACCAATACCATGGTACCATGGAATGGAAAACCCATACCATATCCCACTCATACCAATACCATGTTACCATACCATACCATGTCATCTCATACCATACCAAATGATCTCATACCATACCATACCATCATACTAAAGCTGACAAAGGGTGTCTGGGGTCCTTTTTCAAAATATATAAATTATTTCTGCAGGCTGCAATACTGGTCCATTGGGTGCCATTTTTTGTGGTAGGGTTCTTCAGGTTTTTGCTGAGATATTAAGCTACAAAAGGAGGCAATATAGTAAACTTAATCCTTTGAAAATCAGTTCAATTGAGCTTGATCCCAGATTTTGGCATGCATAATACTGCATCCATTGTGGTGATGTGGTATTTGAGAAGCAAAGAAAACAAGAAATTGTGTGTTATCTATCAGTCCTGAACACTACATTATACCATCCATTTCAAACACATGGACTTGAGCTAGATTATTATCCAACAGGTTGGACTAGAATATGCACTTTGATAATCAACTACATTAAGTACCACTCCACATACAATTAATTTTAAAAGCATGCAATTTGGTGTGCGACTTAGCCACCAGCTAAGCATGAATGGCTCAATGAAAACTTGATACATTTTCAAGGTCTTCTTCCAATAATTTAGATCTACTTCCTATCAATCTGGAGACTTCAAGAACATAAAATCCAATCACCTCACTTTAGCTAGGTCTCTCAGCTTCATATTTCTAAGCAAATGTTGAGACCAAACATGTCACTCTTCTGCAAACATGGTGCAAATAATACAGCTTCCTGGATGTCATATTTTTCAAGATTGGAACAAATATCTCACTCTTCCGCAAACATGGCACAAATAATAGGACGTTCTGGAGGTCATATTGTTCATATTGGACCAAACACTCCACTCTTCTGCAAACATGGGCTAAACACCCTACCCCCCACCACTGCGAGGAGTTGCCAGGTGACAAGCAGCAGCCTTTTGACAAGCTATGAAGGAACAAAAAAATAAAAGGAAAAGATTCTGATAACTTAAGATAAACAGTGGGTGATGGGAACAGCCGAAATGTAGGACAATTTCAATTAATGCATTTTGTAAGTTTTTTGTTGGGTGAAGCTGAGGGTGCTAATGTATTTAAAATACAGAAGCGAGGTGTTTGTTGACAAAGTCAACTTCTAGTCAATAATTGTGCTCTATATAGACCAAACAAAAGAGAATCAGCTAAAAAATGCAAGAACACTAATAACATATGTTATGGTATCCACAACATACCATACATACCATACCATACCTGTCATACCATGCCATACCGTCATACCATACCATGGTCATACCATGCCATACCAGTCATACCATACCATGGTCATACCATGCCATACCATGATCATACCATGGTCATACCATAGCTTTGCAGGATTTCTGCTAAGTTAGTTCAGCTGTGCCAGATGACAACTTATTCCTGTGAGTTCCTTACAACAGTCCACTCTGACCAAATCAATTTGGTGTGTATTTGATAGCTACATACAACTTATTTACTATAAGTGTTTCAAAGGGAATAGGGAGGTAGAAGGGATGGGGGATGTTAAAGGGAAGGAAGGGATGTTGAAAGGAAGGGGGAATGTTAAAGAGAATGGGGTGTAGGGAACATGTTGATGGGAAGGGGGATGTTGATGGGAAAGGGGATGTTGAGGGGAAGGGGGATGTTAAGGGGAAGGGGTAGGGAAAGGGGATGTTAAAAGGGGAAGGGGTATGTTAAGGGGAAGGGGTAAAGAAGGGGGATGTTATGAGGGGAAGGGGTATGTTAAGGGGAAGGGGTATGTGAAAGGGAAGGGGTATGTTCAGGAGCAAGGGGAGGTTGAAGGGAAGGGGGTGTAGGGAAGATGTTGAATGAAAGGGGAATGTGAATGGGAAAGGGGATGTGGAAGAGGAGGGATGTTGAGGGGAAGAGGGACAGTGGCGAGCCTCGTCGCCATTGGTGCGGGGCCCTCGTTCATTGTCGTCCCGCATTAGCATCATATCATTGTTGTGTGCATCATGTTGTCGTCG